CTCATAATCATAAATTAATTGACTGCTCGCGGGCTGAGAATATTTAATTAGAAATCTGATGGATTGCGTCGTTTCAAAAAAATGCTATAAATTATTGAGCGGCACGATAAACATCACTTCTGCAACAATTCAGCCTAGGTATCTGGGAACAAAGTTGTGTTCTTTATGATATTTAGACGAAATTTGTAAAACAATAATTTCCCCGGCTTGAAATGAGACTGCTGCTGTATGTAAAATATTGTTCTAAAGACAATATGCAGTAGACTTCTTAATTACACTGTCCTTTTGCCAGGCTTCGAAACAGAGATGTTCATCAAACACCCTACTTCGCTGTTGCCAAATTCGCCAAACTGTGAACTTCTTATCACTATTGTTCCAAACATTGCATATTAATATCATTTTCAGGATTCAAGAGTAATGTCTTCAAATTGAAAAGCCAATAGGCTCTTGACGCTAATTGAAAAGCCAAATTGAAATTCCAATAGGCTGATGACTTAAATTGAAGAATTTACCTAAATTGAAAAGTCAATAGCCTAACGGGCAATGATAAATTTTCCCGCTCCGTAAATGATTTATAACGACTGGCGGCAGCGAAGTATACTGTGGGTGTGGCTTGATATATCTGTCCTGCCATGATGTTTGCTTACCGAATTTGTCACCGGATGTTTTTTAATTATTGTTAAAAGTTCAAATAATCTTTAATTGTTTCTAAATTTCCTAAGGTTATTATAAACTTAAAGGAATGTGTCATAATATAGACATGAAAATTGGAACACCTGACTCCAAATCAATACCTTGTCAAAATTTCGACTTCTTTCTCTTTTCAGGCTAAATTTTCCGTTCATTCGGAACACGGGACGGTAAGAATTTAAAATCTTTATGCACCCTATTTATGTCCGGTCGCAAATTTTCTCTGATTTTCGTTCATAGCAGCCCCAAAACCGTTTATGTACCGGCCCCTTTTTTAACTATCCTCACTGTTAATCGTTGAAAAATTTCCCTTGAATATATGTGGAATCTTCTACCATGAATTTGTATAGAATGTTCTTCCATGAATTTTTGTGGCATGTTCTGCTGTGTATTTGTATAGAATCTTCTACCATAAATTCGTGTAGAATTTTCTACCATGAATTCGTGGGATGTTCTCCGATGATTTTATGTAGCATTTTTCACCTTGAATTATTGTGTACTTTTACTATTAGTCAATGAAAAGGCATGCGTGTGTTTTCGAATAGTCAAAAAAATTTTATTATTTTTTCGGGGCGGTACAAATCATTGTTTTTTTTTGACAGCTTAGATATGATTCCCAGTAACGTATGAATTTTATCAATTTACCTGCTCTATTGCAATATTTTTATGTTATTTAGTTTTTAACTCAGCTTCACTTAGGTTTATATTAAAACCTTTTAAGCATTGTATTCTGTTTAAGTTTTCTCTGTCTTCTACAATCTCAAAAAATTTGCCCTGTTACTCCTTGCATCGAATGATAATGAACAACAGATGTTATTATCCATGTCAATTATGGATAAATTAATTATTTAAAAATGATTGCATATGATACCTATCCCATTTTGATAATTAGTATCAATGAATCGGAAACCCATCAGCTGGAAGATCGTTCATACCACATTTGCTTTTATTCATAAATTCATTGATTTATGCACAGATATATCCATACATGTTATTGTCCCTCGTTAGGCAGCCTCACGTCAAATTCAATCTTGTTTCAAAGTTTCGATTGTTCGGACGTTTGAAGTTTTCGACAAATCTTTGGTATTTACTGCATCGTTTGTGTTGGTGTTCATTTCTTCAATATCACTTTCTTAATCTTATTTTTGATTGTAATGATTCATATAATTGTATTATCATGAATTCAAGTCGTAAAAACTATGATGTGTTGAAAAAAAAACAAAAACAAACGACTCTTCAAATTAGATTTGTCAAAATGTTTCTGGCGCAAAAATTTCTCTGTAGCGTCAATCTGAAATTTGTCGTTATTTGTCTCCATAATACGCTTGGTTGTGATCGATGTTATTATTGTTTGTACCTGCAACGAACACTTAAATTTCTGTTAAAATAACTTTTATAGACTTATTTTCTTATGTTATTATGTATTGCAAGTCTATTTAGAATAGTTATCGTATCAGTTCTTCTCTTTAGCGCTAGTACTCTCTTAATTTACTTCGTCTACCCTTCACGCATGATTCGCAAGCGACGTTCGGAGAACTTTACCCATTTTGTGCACCTCAGGGATTGCCAACGGACTAATTTTGATTGGCTGTTGATGCTCTACTCAAGATTTTACTTCTTATTAATTGTTCCCAGCCATGAAACACTAACTCATCTCTATTGCTGGCAACACCTTTTTTAAATTAAGAAACCACAGATTATATGCCAGGTCTGAATCGCAATGTTTATTTGTCTACATTGATACCACTTGATGTTTTATTCAAACTACCACACTGCACAGAGGCGGATATAAAAAGCAAAAAATATAATAGGATTTGTTTCAAAGTAGAATTATTCATTTTTATTCATTCGTTCAGTCTTATTCATTCTAATTTCAAGAACGTCCGGTGCACTTCGTTGGAAGATTTTCAATGCATGTATGTCATTCGGTGTTCTTTCTTCAAAATGATTTTGTATGACGGAGTTCTTATTATGTTTGTAATATACAAGCAGAGAGTTTTGTGTGCATATTTTGATCAATAATCGCCTTGTTTGCTTACCTCCACCCACGCATAAATTCTAACGGGTTCTCATCTTAATTTTTTTGTGTAGCTTTTATGTACTTTCACTCCAGTACTGACAATTTTAGTACTTGTACTACTTTAGTACGTAATACTATTCTTCACTGGCTTCTATCCTTGACACAAAGAAAATACTATTCTTCACCGGCTCCTATCATTGACACTTATAAAATACTATTCATAACTTGCTTCTGTCATTTACACAAAGAAAATACTATTCTTCACCGGCTTCTATCATTGACACTTATAAAATACTATTCTTCACTGGCTTCTGTCATTTACACAAAAAATACTATTCTTCACCGGCTTCTTTCATTGACACAAATAAATATGGTTCAGGTTCTTCTATATGTGTTATCCATTCCCCAAACATATATTAACTGCTTTAAAATCTTTGACTCAGTTGGATACGGTTATAATATCTCCGTAATTCTACCTTATTCATTTAAATTTAATTTATTAGCAGAATGATGTCATTAATGCAGACTGAACAGAATTTCTCATTAGAATGATGTCTTCGCACCATATAGCTGTTATAGCACCATTTCTAACCTGGTGGAAGTCTAGTAGCTATTTCAAACTAACGTCTGTTTCGAAGATCCGGTCGAAGGACCTGTATTTAGATCTGTGAGTCACGAAAAGTACAAGATACGGCGACAGGCCACATTAGGCCTACTATTCAACGCCAACATCACTATGATATGATGCGGTATATCTTTAATGCAAACTAAACAGAATTTATCATCAGAATGATGTCATCATTATCTTAAGTGTCACCTGAAGGGTGGATTACTTGAAGGAACCATTTTTCCCGGCATCCATCTTAACATACGAGTTCTGTAGGAATTATCGCGTGAATTAGTAAGGGGTAACTACTTTTTCGCAATACATGCTATCTAAATACTATGTATGTTCAATAAGTTTTAACCATTCACAAAACTAACGCTAGAGATTTGGGCCTCATGACATATTATTTGAAATCTAAAAATTAGTTCTGTAAGTATGTGCTTAATTTCCGTATGAGGCGATACAATTGTTAGGCGTTTTATAGTCGAATGATGAGTTTAGGATAAATATATAACTGGAAATTCGTTTGGCATTTTGTCGTAATTTGTTCGTCAAACAGCATCTGCGCTTGCTGGTACTATTTTATTGAAGTCAATTAATGAAAATCCTCGCGTTTAAAATATTTCCGATTTTGTGCGTATTTTGTAGCTGCATATGATTGGACCTTCAAAACTTGCATTCCATTGATTAAATACAAAACATTTTCAGCGTTAAACGGTTGCTTCTTTCTAAAATAAAGGGGAATATTTCAAATAAACTATAATTGAAATAATGCCATGCTCTTTGATGCATTGACATCTGTAAACCAGAATTCATCCAATTATTTATTTAAATTTCATTAATTTCTAATCAGTTTTTATTCGCTAAATAATTCAGACAATATGATACATATAATTGTCTTATATTAGATATTGTTCTAAATACAATAAACTTCGCCGTAATCGTTCGCACGCGTCCAATGACACAAGCTGGCGCTGCACTCAGAAAAAGCTATGGGCATAATGTCCAGATAGCTATAACCTCTCTACACGTGTCTCTCAATCGTCCTTTTGCTGAGCCAAACTGAGTCAGGATGACCCACACAAAGGCAAAAAGTTCATCGGTAGTTAGCCGAAGTCTCATTGTAATCTCTGAGTGCGAAACTATTGCTCAAAGTTGAAAAAATATAACTCGGTACTCACTGCAGTGAGTGACAGCGAGCGCATTTTCTCGTCGACGAAAACTTCGTAATGACAGTTGAAGCTTAGCAGCTTTGGTGCATACATTCAAAGAAATCAGTGGGAATTTGTCCATATAGCGATGCATTTTTAGCTCATTTTCTCATTTATGGAAAAAAAGGCGCTATTGTATTCGTCATGTCCGTCTGTCCGTCAGTATGTGACTTCACGGACGGACGAGAAAATGCGCTCTCTGTCACTCACTGCATTGAGTGCTGATAATTTAATTTTACTGATAATTTCAATAATTACTGATTTTTTTCTAATAAATGGGTCATCCTGACGCAGTTTGGTTAGAAAAAAAGCGTATCCAGTCTCTGCTAGTGCTGTGGATAAGATAATGTGTCACTATTTATGCACTCTGACCCATACATTTTTTGAGTGTAGCCGTCGCCGTATTTTCTGTTAAATAATTTAAGGGATGCATAAGTTTAATTTTATTAAATTTGCTCACTTTATTCTGCAGCTGCGGCAAATTATACAGCAGGAGGGGCCGGCAGATCCCCTCCCTCCCCCTCCTCTTGCGCAGGTGGGTTTTTAATAATAATAATAATGATAATAATTATAATAATATTAATAATAATAATAGCTATAATAATAATATTAATAATAATAATAGTTGCACAAGCGTTATTAAGAGTGATCACTTTCTCTTACTAATGATGATCGATCTTATTGTGCATTAGTTTCAATAATTGTGATTTTTTTCACTTCATGATGATGAAAAATTGCAAAATTTTGTAATCTAAAAAATCTGTTCCAATGTTAATTTATTCTTAACCACTATCGTTCTATTTAATTGACGTTGTATTTGTATAATAATTATAAATAAATAAGGCAAATCTCCATGGAAAATAGGATTATTAGGAAAACATTCTCGCAACATAGGAGGTACCGGTGAATTATAATAATATTATATTATTAATAATATTTAATTACATTAATTTATCATTACTCAAGAAATAATACAAAAATTTCTCGAGTTTTACTATTGTCTTCAAAATTATTTGCAGCAGGTTAGTCTCAGGAACGTTTTATGAAAATGAAGTTATTACATTATATTATGTTTATATTATATTATATTATATCACAATATATTATGTTATATTATATTATATTATGTTATATTATATTATATTATATTTTATTATATTATAACGGAAGCCCGTGCGGCAGGACGTGTACGGTTCGTCGCGGGACGTTACGGGACGTACGGGCAGACGTCCCACGGACGTCGCGGGCCCGTCACGGGACAGTCCGTCGTCGACGGTACGTCGCAAGCTTCTGTTCTTTTTTTCTGGATTTAGATTCCAGTTTTCTTTCCCTAGATCTTTAATTTATATTTGCGAATTCCTTTTTACTCCCATTATTTAGAGGGAACATATTTTATGAATAATAATTTTAATAATTAATAGTTTAATATTTTTAAATATTTTGTTGTAGATGATTTACAGTGAATATTTTGGACAGCTTCACGTTATAATATTTATTATAGCATTAATATAAAACCTTTTATAATTACTATGAAAAGTTTATTCTTATTGCCATGACTCTTGTCATACACCTGCTGATCATTCATCCAGGGTGCCTGTCATTCGTCTTGTTCCATCAAACACTTGGGGCCGAACTATCAAAAAAAGTTTTTAATTCCGTCAGCCAATCAGTGATGGCTTTTCAAGCTAAGATCACCAATCACAGATATGAAATCAGCCGCTACGTGTACTTAGACCGCTACGTATATTTAGGTCGCTACGTGTAATTAAGTCGCTACGTTTACTTAGGTCGCTACGTGTACTTAGGTCGCTACGTGTACCTAGGCCGCAACCTGCATGTATAGGCGATTTTGATAGTAATGATCCCGGGCGTTTTTTGTGTGATCGACACACTCTTGAACTCTTTTGAATGGTGTATAATATTATTATACTAGTAGTATTCAATTATTTATAATTTAATAAACAGACTCGACATAGACTCGACATTAACTCGAAGCATTATTACTTGATCATGCTTCTTAATTTACTTCAAGTAGCTAGCAAATTTTCTCCGTTAGGCTTTGATATTCTATATATCTTACTTGAGTACAACTGTTTTGATATTTAAAGTTTCTACAAAACTGAGAATGGATTTTTTAATTTTGTTTTCTGTATTTGTTCTCACGTGCGTTTGAAGCGTTTTTATCACCTGGATTTATTTTTTCGTTGCACTCTTTAATTGGGTTGTAACGGCTCCAAGTAATCTTCTGTTTTTTTTTTCCGTAATACGTTCAGGATAAGATACAGAGTATTTCCGAGTATCCTAAATAATTTTTAGAGCAACTAATGCAGAAAATATACACATATACTATATATATGTGTATATTTTCTAACTAAAAATTAACATATTATCGACGAATCTCAGTTCGATCAAATGGATAAAGAAAGTGGCACGTGTGCGAAATTCTTTCGAATTAAACCGTAATAATAAGAATTAGACAATATGGCCTTTCTTTGCATGTTTTATTTTATTTAGCATATTTTCAAGGAAAATCTTCAAAGTAATAGAAGATTTTATAAAGTTTTTCTATGTTATTAAATATCTTGACAATTGCCAATATCTCGCAAGAAGAAAAACATTGGCTTTCTTCGTTCATTTATTGATTGTTTATTAAGTGACCTGTGATAGGTTATTCGAGTATTATTTCGTTCGTCTAGTATTATTACGTTAAACTAGTATTTTTACGTTGTTCCGTGTATAATTATTATGGTATTAATATTCTAGCATTTTAATGCGTTCTAGTTATTTATCTTCCATTGGCTCATTTGATTTTTCATAATTTCTCGAGGATTTGTTTGACTCGCTTTATTATATTATATCGCTTTATTTCTTTATTACAGAAAATTATTTTTTATGTCTAATCGATTGTAAAACATTTGACACTCGTTCCCCACGTTTACTGCTCTACCAAGTACACCGCGTAGCGTACAGCTAAATTTGTGACGTCACGTCAACAACTGCTCAGCACGTCAATTTGTACACTGAATATTTTTACTGCATAATATTCATAACTTTCACATATCGACTTTTACTAATCGACAAAAATCAATTATAAGAACTACATTCAATTCCAAGCAAGATCACGATACTTCGCTTGTATTACAGAGACTGTTTCATGGTTTTACGATTTTTGGGGCATTAGGCTTTTCTAATTTTCTAGAACTTTCTTGTCATGCATAGTTTCGTTGTTGTATTTCTTTTACTTCTGTAGCCAGTGCGGTTAAAGCTGATGATGTATCATCAAGATTTAATGAATTTTACTGTAGAAGAAAAATGAGAGTAATTGTCGCCGACTACTTAATTTTCTCCGGTAACGAACGGATATTTTACCAGAGCATCAAAGGGTTTATATTTTTCTATTTGTCATGTGCCGGACGCCTATTAACTGTGTTATTAATTTCAGTGATTCTAGTCTTACCATCATAGTGAAATGTTTTTAATTTTTATTTTTACGTTTTATCACTCGTGAATAATGTCTGCTGTACATTTTATGTCATTATGATACATACATACTCGTATTTTTATTTATGTGCATTCAAAAACGTGAGCTTCGGGCTTAATTTTTGTTCATCTTGGTGACCTCTTTTAAATCGACCAGAAACTGAAGATTCACACGCAAAACTTCGACCCGATCCGACCTCCCGCTGCAACCAAGACAGATTTCTCGCCGGACCGTAACTATGTAAAGTCAAATCAATTCTGCAGCCTACAGAACCAGGATATTAAGCCGGAAGAGGTCTCCTCCCGTTCTAAGAGCCTTACATCTATTTCCAATAAGTCCCTTTCCAATAGTGGCTTCAGCATCTCGAGCAGCCTTGTGTGCACTTCGAGTGCAAGTAACATAGATTACGAGACAATATCGTCAACTAATTGTTTCGGGAATAGTTACTCCAGTATTCCTTCGGTAACTATAACTGCTTCAACAACTCAAAGAGCTTCCGTGACCAGTGAAAAAGAATTTCTTCAGTTATATGAGAGTCACCTCATGGTACCTTCGCCTCTTGGTAGAAAGAAGGAATCCAATTCAAATATCGAAGGTGCGACGGTCTCATCATCATACCTGCCACCCAAATCACCATCTCAAAGGCTTCCGATAATTATGGCATCCAATTGCGACCGTAAACTACGGAGAAATTCTCTTGACCTTATAAGCCAGCCTCCCGACGACCTCAGGACTTTCGGTACACAACGTCGCAACTCGTGTGGACCGTTTCTTTCGGTAAATCCTGGTAGCATTTCAGATGAAAATAAAAAATATAGCAACAGTGAACAATATGCAAAATCTAGTTTACATTCAACAAACAGTCACGAATGGATACAGTTTTTGCCCAATCATTCGGCAACCGCCACGAATATCAGACGACATTCGTACGACGTTCAGCCGAGTCACGGCAATCATCTGAAGGCATCGTTGGCCCAGAAATACCGTAACTCTGTGGACGGAATTTACGACCACAGCTGCAGGAACGACTACTTGCCGAAGAAAAAAGAGCGGCGCAGCAGCAGCGTTGTATCTTACATAATATTCCAGGTGCCAATTAATATCAAACCTTCTCTTTCTTGCTGTTGAATGCTGAGTATTTTGTTCATTTTCAGCATAAGTTCGTTAATGAGCTAGTAAAGCCATTGTTCGTTAATGAGTTAATGAAGCCTATAATTTTTTAATGATTTTTGCAATTTGTAGTTTCTACAGCAGTTTTCGTTGAGGTTTGTTTTTCATCTCATCAGCTAAATTTAAACTGAAGAAATTACGGAACGCGTTGACGCAGAGTTATGATACATTGATAGCTGAAATCATGATTTTGAATGATTTCATTGATTTTGAAATCATAATTATTTTGAATGCTTTTATTTTGCTTGCATCTAGTAGTTCGTTGCTCCCCTTCGTGGTCCACGTTTGTCGCATGGCTCTCGTGATGGTTGGTTGCATTTGTAAGCCTAATGTAGATATTACATGTTGAACTTCCTTTTCTTCGCCATTTTTGAGGATTCGAATTATGCATTTAAATTGTACTCTTGGTATTTCTATCTACTGCTTTATAGTTAATTATAACATTATTTTTCAATAAATTTTTCTTTAATATCAAATATTTATGTGCGTTTTTTATAGATTGTAAATAAATCTTTTGTCATTCATTTACCGACAATATTTTGCTTAGGAATAATTAAAATCTTGTCGAACCTTCAATAATATAATGATGTAATAAATACAATGCATAAATGTAATTTTTTCTCATTTTTTGGCTGGTCACAGAAGTGATTATAAAACTACCCGACCATCGTAAGTCAAAGGTAGAAAATATAAGTCAACTGTAGTAAATATTCACGCAAATGACATTAAGGAGTTGTTTCGGTTTTGTTTATCATCATGAGAAGCATATGTTGTATTAGGTTTTATTATTTATATATATTTTTTGATTCCATATGTTCCTTCGAGGTATTTTTTCTGCAGACTTGAATCATAAAAAAAATCAGGCGCTATCCGTTGATTGCAATTCAACCTTCGTTCGCCGTGTAGTGTCAAATTTTCATCTTCTTTATAATTTTTTTCATGGGCGTTTAATTTCAATGACTTTTCTAATTACTACACTTTCATTTAAATTGAATATCAATGAATATCAGAACAAGTAAATTAGAAAAATTGCTTTTAAAATTTGCCATTTTCCTTCGGCTCGTTTCATTATTGCAGTCCTTGCACAGAAAGGCAGATTCTAATTTATATAACAAATTTTGGAGTACAAAATTTCAAAAAGTGCGATAACGTAAGATGCGTTTTGGCGACGATCGGAAGTTATACGATGGCCGAAATTTAGACGTTTTCATCTTCCAGAACCTTTTTCGATTATAGCGAGAAACTAATCAATACAAGGCCGTTCTTTTCTTTGGGGAATCTAATCACTTATTCACACGTTGACTCTTCTTGAAATCTGTAAGCACTTCCAAGACTTTCTCTGTGATTACCTAATGGGATGAACCCAATTCGTATAATTTTTAAATTTTTCTCATGAAGAGAATAATTTGGCAGGACAAATTCGCAGTGTGCTTGCATAATAATCGGGCGATAATGAAAGTAAGAAGCAATAAATGAGTCAGCCTCCATTCTTCCTCGCTCCAGAACAATAGACTCAGAACAATTTACTGCCGCTTGGTCGAGTAAGTGTTGGTTATTTTATTCATATTATTTGCTGATACACACCGAGGATATGGCTACGCCAAGCCTCTTTCTCTGTGTCCCTGAACTTTTAACCGCCTTAGTCAATAATATTGATCTGGGAATGATAACGTGTAGCTTCTTTGTCCGACGAGAACTCCGAGCTTAAGAGCAACATAAAAAGCTGAAGATGTTGAAATTGAAAGATCCTAAATAACTGCTTTCGAAACACTCTTATTTCTTCACGTTCTGTGACAGACTTTGTCATAGAAAAGTTATTGAAAAAATTACTATTGAATTTCATTCCATTGACTCAAAGTACTTGTACGAGTATGTATATGTAACACGACGTCAACCACGAGAGTATTAACTGCTTTCATACTTGTAAATCACCTCTTGATTCGAAATTGTTATAGCATTGCTGATAAAATCGCTGCATATGGCAGATTGAAGGAAAGTTCGGCAAATTTTAAAGTATTCGAGGGAAGTTTGGATGTAAACTTTTGTTGCACATATATACAGAGGACGAAAAACATTTTGCTTTCTCTACGGCGACGATTCGCCGGCGTTGTATCCATTCGATTAAAACTCAGAACTTTTATATAAAACTGTCATTAAATTCTTTAAATCATCAGATTGTACCGGTTTATATATTTTCAATGCATATTACGTTTTTAAATAATTGCAGAAACAAGTGCATGATCATCGTAGATCTAAATTATGACCGTTTTTATATATGTCAATGGAAAAATTGTGGTTTTAAACTCAATAATATTGAACTCTGTTAGCAAAGATTGTATTCGAATTAAACTTTGCAATTCCAGGTTGAAAATCGTTTGGGTCATTAGCTTTACTTTCATTTCAACACAATATGAGTAGTCGATAGGAATTAGGTAATCCTAATCCCGCATTGAATTTCTAATATTATTTTGGTCAATTTTCGTTACGGCTGTTATTAGCTTTAAAACCCAATATAATATAAATGTTCCAACCCAATGTTCCATATAATGTTCCAACCCAATAATAATCTTGATATTAAGAAACGTGAGAAAAACCGGTGATAAATATAATTTCTGTACATGTGATTGTAAGCCTGCTGCGCTTAGCATTTCAAACTTCTCAGCCAAACCTACTCCATTCGATTCCACCTCAACCTTGTACAGTTATTTACAGTTATTGCAAATCTTCTACTGTTATTGTTGAACTTGTAGTGTTATTGCTAACCTGTTTCTCTTATTGTTAACTTATACTATTATTTCCAACCTTGAACTGCTGTTGCTAATCTTGTACTTTTATATATAACCTTGTACTGTAATTATTGATGGTGTTCTATCTCACAGTGATTTGTTGTTAATTTTCTGTAATGTGTTGAGTATTAAATAATATGGAGAGATAATAATAATATATATAATATATTTTTCGATGTGGCTAGACTTATTTTCAGCCAGAAAATGAATTTACAAACCATTTTATGCATTGAGCCTCTATTTGTATCTCTTCAATTAATGTTTCTACCTGCGTATTTCAATCTTATATTAAACATTTAGCTGAATTTTTTTTAAATGATACTTGCATTTTTTACGTCTTTTGTTTCAATCTGTGGCTATCTGCTCCGATTCAAGAGCAAAATAAAGATCTCACTGGTAATATAATTTTAGTATATCTTATAAAAATGCTTTTTTAAAGGCGTTACCCGATTGAGTTCCATTAGGTCTTCATGTACACATTTATTAAATTGTTCAGTTCATTCTAATTTTCATCGGGAAAAACTGTCGTTAAATAATTTGCTTTATAGCTTAATGCATTTTACGAGTTTCAATTTTACTCCGGGAAATGCATGTTGATCTTATCTTCAAAACATGACGTACAGGTTAGTTATGAAACATATTTACTTCTAATGTTAGTTCTACCGAGGTTACCTGCACGCGACGCATCGCTAGTTTGTTTTCAGCCCAAATTTTGCCTGCTTGTTTCTTATATAAATAAGAAAGTAATTCTTATATAAATAAAAAAGTAGACAAGTAATTATTACTGCCTGTGTATTGCTCTGCACACTGAATAAATAGTTAATTCGCATATTTCTTGCTCGAAATGTTATTTCATGTTATGCATCTTTTTCAACAGAAATATTTTATCTCTTCGCATGCCAACTGTTTCTGAACTTGCTATATCTTTATGAATTATTGTATTGATAGCATTTGTTATAAGCTTGTAAAACAAATTGTTACAATTTAGGGAAAATTTTTAAGAAAGACAAAAACAAATTTTTATGCTGGAAAACTTTTAATTTTAACAGATCTCTTTGTGTTCTTCCTTTTAAGGATCAATTTTATTCGCATGCTCTTGCTCTGTCTTCAACGAGAAAAATGCCAGTTGATTTATTTAACATATGTTGTATATTTTGATCATACGTATAACATTCAACATATGTTTATTGAAAGTAATGAACAAATTCATATCAAAGCATGGAATCATTTTTAAACTGATTTAATTAATGTTTATAATATATAAAAAAAATTTACCATCCGCATCACAGAGTGCAAACAAAAATGGTTTTGAATTTCGATTTATTGCCGTTATAATTAATATGTCGGCTTCGGTTTTCAAACTCGCAGCTTTAAATCATTTAATTCCCAGAAGATTTAGGTTTTCTATTATACTATAAAATTGATTTCATTTCAAATGTATCTCATTATTTCTTTAAATTATATGTAACATGTTTTATCTAGTATTCCTCATATTCTTTCGATGAGAGTCCTCCACGTTGCCCGTCCGTGTTTCCATATCCACTTGAATCTACATGTTTAATTTCTACCATATCTCATGTTTACAATCAATATTAACTTTCTTTAGTATTTCAGTTATGAAAAACTTTTCATATAATGTCAATACTCGAATTATCTAATCCAATCTTTCCGATTCCTCACAGGTCTGAGTATTCTCCTTTTCATATACTGTCAATCCTCGAATTATCTAAACTAATCTTACCAATTTCTCACTGGTCTGATTAGTCTCCTTTTCATATACTGTCAATCCTCGAATTATCTAAACTAATCTTACCGATTCTTCACAGGTCTGAGTATTCTCCTTTTCATATACTGTCAATACTCGAATTATCTAAACTAATCTTACAGATTCCTCACTGGTCTGATTAGTCCCCTGTTTCCAGATGCTGCACACCAATCGACGCGAGATCAAAGCCGCCAAGAACCTCAGCATCATAGTTCTGTTCTTCATGATCTGTTGGTTTCCCCTGTACACCATCAACTGCATCAACGCCTTCTGCTCCACGTGCCAAGTGCCGCTTCAGCTCCTCAACTTCACCATCATCTTGTCCCACGCGAACAGTGCGATCAACCCGCTGCTATATGCCTACCATATGAAGGTGATAATGCATGCCAACCATATGAAGGTGATAATACCTACCTTAGCTACCTACCATATGAAGGTGATAATACCTACCTTAGCTACCTACCATATGAAGGTGATAATACCTACTTACCATATGAAGGTGACAATACCTACCTACCACATGAAGGTGGCAATACCTACCTACCACATGAAGGTGACAATACCTACCTACCATATGAAGGTGACAATACCTACCTACCTACCATATGAAGGTGACAATACCTACCTACCATATGAAGGTGATAATACCTACCTACCATATGAAGGTAACAATACCTACCTACCATATGATGGTGATAATACCTACCTACCATATGAAGGTGATAATACCTACCTACCATATGAAGGTAACAATACCTACCTACCATATGAAGGTGATAATACCTACCTACCACATGAAGGTGATAATACCTACCTACCATATGAAGGTGACAATACCTACCTACCATATGAAGGCGACAATACCTCCTTGACAACTCAGAATTACTTATCTATTCAAGACTTCAATATGTGTATATCAATGGTTACCTTAAACTTCATTAAAATGTTGATGCTTGCAAATGATGGTGACTCCGTTCTTTTCTTATAGAGTCTGAATAGAATATAAATGATTTTTAATTAGTCGTAAATCTTGACACTGGCCTTATGAAAGTCGAATCCTGAAAAAATAGATTGACCATTGGGGCTAGACTGACATACACTTAATAAATGCATGTGATGGACCGAATCTGTTGTTGCCAACCAAATAGCGATAAACGTTAATAAATTGGTATTTGATCACTAGATATTTTACATGAAACGTTTTCTTGACAACCAAGCTGAAGAATTAATAATTGGACTGCTTCTAATTAACACCGGAACAACTATACAAATGTATATACAGACTATTGAAAGTAAATATCATTGAACCTTGAGCTGTGAGATTAGAAATAAGTTGCACTTAAGTACAGTAATTTTAAAAACTATTTACATGCCTCCCAAACTTATGTAGTGGTCGTACTGGTCAACCAGACCACGTCTTCCCGTTAACGTGAATTTCCAATAGATTAAATATTAACCTAGATTACTTATTATTAAAGGCTTGTTGTGAAATTTTTAATTATATTTGCCAACAGTCTTAGGCGAAAAAGTCTAATTAATTTACGAGTACTATGTTGAGGATTTAAATTTTGGTTTATCGTTCTTCAATGCTCAATTTTAATTATTTTGTTTTATAAGATTTTTAAAATTACTCGGGCCCTAAACCTAACAGGTCCCCTAAAATAACTATCTTAAGTTACATTAATCTTTTTTATTTAACCTCAATGTGAATTTTTTAGTCACAATATTACAAAGCCTGAGTTAAAAAAGGTTGCACAAGCCTCCATCATCTCAAAATTTAATCCGTGCAGTTAACTTACTTTATTTCGGCAGGATTTCCGGTACGCCCTGAAGGCTTTGCTCTTCGGCAGAATTTTTGGCACGAAGCTCCTGAAGCACCGACCCTCCATGACCGCCATTTACCGGACCCAACATTCAGACCGCTACCTTCAGCGCAACCGCCACGGCAACGGCCACGAACTAAACACGGCGCCCCGACGACACGACCCTAACCGCCTCACTCCAACCTACGACACTCCCACAAACCTCACCCCTCTGAGCGTGACACCTTTCAGCGCCACACCCATTGATCCTAAAAGTAATCCTTTCTGTGACTCGTTCCAAAAAGCTTTGGTACAAAAACTGGGGAAGCAGACCGAGGCCGCTGAAGTGGTGTCGGATATGACGATCGTTGTTGATACCCTGAAGGTCGCTCTACCCCCAGCACAGCTGCACCTGTCCCGGGACCATTCGCCCCGACCACACTGCCCTCTCATTCAAGTGTCCACCATCACTACGCCACCTCATGAAGAGGGATATGATGAATGTGATAAATATTCACATTCGTATTGTGAAAATGATGAGCAGCCATATCCAGACTGCATTTCTGTCGGTGATTTCGACGACCGACAAAGTGAAACTATTTCCGTACTGGCAAACGACTCAGAAGCTCCAGAGGAAGCTCTTGATGCGTGCAATGCAAGTCAACGAATTTTATTTAAGGGAGAACTTGAAAATTCTGTAATAGAAGAAAACGGTGAACTGCAACTCGAGGAAGAAGCCTGCGAGATGACCGATGATAAATTTTTAGTTTTTCAAATAGTAAGCGATCCCCCATACAGAGATGACGTTACAGATTTGACTAACGACGAATCTCAAGTACAAAAAGCAGCAGAACTACACTTTGGAAACTCCCCTTAAATAAACATATCTATTGAGCCTGTGTGCGCAGATGTAAGTAATAGACGTAGCCTAGCGCTCCTAAATGTCGTTATGTATGTTACTTGTGCAGGAAACTTAGATATTAAAGAATATTGTATCTCAAAGATCAAATATCATCTGGTCGTCTTGTTTCAGTGTTTAATACGAGTCTAACAATTTGTTAATATTAATTGAGTCTTTTGTCTTTTATTATTTGAACACTGAGACTTCAACCCGTAGATATATCTAGTCTTAATTAAGTAAATTAATATCATAATATAGTACAATTTATTATTATTTCATTGATGTGTTATATACGAGCATTATAATCGTACACTCAAATAATGAATGGCTCACGTTGTCCAAATAATGACACACATTCTTACTCACAGCACGATCAGTGAGCCGCCGTATCACTGATACACTTTTTTTTTCTAGCCAAAGTAGGTCAAGATGACACATAAAAGGCAGAAAGTGCATCACAGTTTGGGCAAAGGGTCACTTATTCCTTTGAGTGTGTGCAGAACTGCGAAAATCATTAGCTAAATTCCCACGGCTTTTTATCTCAAAATAATAATAATTAACAATTAATCTCTATTAATAATAATTTGCCATGCACCTCCAAGCTTTACTTATTTCCTGTGACCTGTTTTTGAATACTCAAATAACATATTTTAATGTCTGAACGATACATTAGAAATTACAGAATTTGTTCACGTGCATTCCAATAGGAAATACGGACCAAGCATAGAGTATGCGATTGTTTAATAATTGTTGATTGCTTGTGAGATTATGACGTCTGTAACGATCTGAATTGCCATGAATTTAACGTGCAATAAATATTTGCTTGGAGCTTAATAGCTCGTAGCCAGGACTGGCTGAAAGATCAAATGAAAATACAGCGCCGTCTCAAATTTTCTCAAAGCTCAGATTTTGGGCCATATTTATTGCCATTGTCTACTTTAAAACAAAGAAAAAGATACGGAACTTCATTGTAATGAAGTTCCTTAAATATATGTATGAATAATATGGAGAAATTTCAACAGTTCAAGCATGCGCTAGTAATACATTGATCTTAAATTCGCTTTTTAGAATTAAATTGTTAAAAGTTTTCTTACAGTTCTGAGAGAACTGACTATCCTGAGGTTATAGCCGTAAATTATGCAAGGATTATAATTACAGAAATTCAGTCAATGATTTGACTGGAAAACTTGTGTGTCACTGGAAAACTTGAATGTTTATTTATGCTCTGTCATTTTTATTGAGACTCGTGAGTATTTTTCCAGCATATAATCATTTTAATAAAAGAAAAAATCTAAAGGTTTATAAACGGTGAAATAAATTAAGTTTAATGTCATAGAATTCTCACTATAGTCAAGCGAAACCGACTCCTTTAATTTAAGAATATCTCAATGAAGGCTTCGTGTTCGTTCATCATTTCCGGGTTATCTGCTCTGGAAATATTGAAGTTGGGTGAGTTTTTCACTCATATTATATGAGACCGAGAACAAGTCACGAAAAGTACAAAAATCGGCGATAGGCCTAACCAGGCCTATGTTTTCAACGCCGCTATGCTATGCTATGAAAATAACTCTATGATCCTGAGTTTTTGCAGGTTCCGCACAGGTTCAGCAGGATATTTTTCCGTATCCGTTCTAAAGACCGGATACGTAAATTAATTTTACAAATATTCGAATATTGATATCATCATGGTTGAACTAGTATAAGGTTGACCCATCAGAAGCCCATTTTTGCGGATGTAGTTCGTCGTTCGCCTGTGACGTCACTGATCTCTGTGACGTCACGGGCATTAACCAATCATGGAAATGCGATCTAACCAGTCGACCAATACGTCGTGGGAATGACGGCTTTGTTTACGTTTCTCGATCTACGTGACGTAACAAGTAAGCTGAACTGAAAGACGGAACTCCTCGTGGGTCAACCTTGGATATCATATCATTACTAATACTCAATTCTTCTTATCACTTTGTTTACGTGTTTATTGTGAGTGAAATTGCATATATTCAAAATGGGATGTTCCTGTTTTTTGGACTCTTTATATGATTTTCTTTACAACCTTTTTAGTAACTCGGTACGCATAAACAGGCTTTTGACATTTTTTTAATGCAAGTCCAATGCCCAATTTATATTGTACTTGAAAGAGATAACATGTGTTTCTTTGAGTACAATATTTCCGTACTGGCAATTAAATCTGATTAAATAGAAAATTCACATATAAAGTTAAAAAAACGCCAAGGGAATCCACCTTATCTCCAGTGAAGACGTTTCGAAGATCAGCTAAATGATCAGTTTAAAATATATATTGGAAATAAGTTCGATCAAAAGAGATATCTACATGTACACAAAAGAGATTAAAACCTAAGTAATGAGAAAACGACAACGGAATATAAAACCGTTCGATTTAAAATTTCAAGAGGATAAGAACTGTACGCGTTACCAGAAAAGGTTGCCGTCTAGAAATATGCTAGAATAATTCTAGAATCCTTGAATCCGAAACACCTGAAGAGTTTGATTTTAGAAGCACTGCATATTTTCAAGCGGAAACCTTGTCTTAATATCGTATACAGTTCTTATCCTCTGTAAATTCTCAATCAATAGATTTCTGTGTTCCGTTGTTGTTTTTTTCGTTGCGTTGGTTGCAATCTCTTTCGTGTATAGTTAGATTTCTCTTTTGATTGTACTAGTATTATATAAATTTTTGGAACTGATGATGAAGCTGGTCTCCGAAACGTTTTCAATGGAGAAATGGTGAATTTACTGTATGGACATTTTCTTTGTTATAAATTTTTGGTGCTTCTTTGAGCTTTAGTCGAATGCGTTCAGCCTGTTAGAGTTGAAGGAGAGCTCTGACAGATTAGTGACGTTAAAAATATAAAAACATACCAAAGCTTAAGGTGTGAGAGTAAAACAGACATCCAACTTATATAACCGTTACGAGAACATCCAGAAATGATAGAACATTGTGAGAATTCTCCCTCATCAATGAAATGTATGTCTTATAGAATATACTGCTTGTCATTCCACCAGTTTGCCGTTCTCAATGTTGAATGTCTTTGCTTTGTGTTAGGAGACTAACTATAATTAAATGTTCACTGTTTGGTGCAATTATTGCCCTCTTTCACCTATAGAACTAAACTATTATAAAGATATAGCCAAGCTTAAACCTGTCAAAGATTTCATACCAATAGGCTTCTTCTCGAAATGAATAAATAGTGCGTGAGACGATTTTAGCCCCATTGCCGAGAATTATCTAATTGAGACCAAATGTTGCCAAACAATTCTTAAAAGAAATATAATTAAACGTAGAGAGATTGCTATTTTGGACAGAAATGCAGCAGACTCCCTATTTAGCTTTTCATTGAGTATCACCCATAAGGTACCCCTACATTCTTACTGCCATGCATAAATGTGCAAAGACGGTCATTCTCAAAGTGAGCCTCAAAAGCCATGGCAAGAGGGCGGAATTTTCAAATTTTTCCCTATATTGAATAAAAATTTCTTTCGAAAACCGATTTGATAGCAAAGGCCGCACTACAACAACATGCGTTCAGGAACACTGCAGAACACAGCTGTGGTTGAAATGCCGTGGGCATCAAGTTTAGGCGGCAACCATATTCCATAGTTAACCTTTAATAGAATGGTTACTTCGATGATCTTTAAGTTTGTCAATAAAAGTAGACCAATAATGTTTACGAACCATTGGAATGAGATTCAGATACGATTAAATTGATATCGAAGATTAAGAGTAATAAATTTTAATTGAAGGTCTTATTTGCTTTTTTTTAGAATTCATATAAGATTTTTTTTTTAGAAATGCTTCTCTCGTATACTTGCGATCTAGGCCCTCCAGGCAGCTATAGATCTAAAGAAATGTCTACATTTCGTAGCAGCATTCGCCCCTGATTTTCCGTGATTTGGTGTGTTACTAATTATTTTATATGTGCATATTGACTATCTTTTTCATAATCTTTCTTCTATAACTTTATTAGTATTACAGCTTTATGCTCATTTGCTTATTCATTATTTTCAAAAACCGTTACAATTATCTGTCGAGTTTTCAAGCTGAAAAACATTTCCGTAACCGTAACCATAACCGTAACCTTAACCTTAACCCTAACCTTAACCATAACCTTAAACTTAACCTTGAACTTAACCTTAACCATAACCTTAACCTTAAACTTAACCTTAACCCTAACCTTAACCTTAACCTTAACCTTAACCTTAACCATAACCTTAACCTTAACCATAACCTTAACCTTAACCATAACCATAACCTTAACCTTAACCTTAACCTTAACCTTAACCTTAACCTTAACCTTAACCTTAACCTTAACCTTAACCTTAACCATAACCTTAACCTTAACCATAACCTTAACCTTAACCATAACCATAACCTTAACCATAACCATAACCTTAACCCTAACCTTAACCTTAACCATAACCTTAACCTTAACCATAACCTTAACCTTAACCATAACCATAACCTTAACCATAACCGTAACTTTAACCATAACCTGAATCTTATCTTTAACCATAACCTTATCTTATTTAACCAAATTCAATTATTCTTTAAAATTCATCGATGACATCGAGATGATTCCAAGTTAAAGGTTTCAAATTACATTACCAATTCAACTTTGTTGGAAAAAAGTGAAGGCTCCCACCAGTCATTGGATATCACGATTAAGTTTTCCTCCTTACAAAAATCTTAATTGCTGCCTTAAATCGCAATAGGCTACCCACCTTCAAATTTATTCTCGGCACTGTCAATGGCACCCGGAGGTCGGTGCTCAACAGAAACTGCACATACCTTGTTGCTCGTCTTCAAAAACCGTAAATTATACTGGTCAGAATTGCAATTTGTAATGTTCGATAACTACATGATGACAACAAAGCTGTTATATCGCTCCACCTACAGAATATCAAATATGTGGGTCGGCTGGGTTTACAAAATGGATCGTTTCTAAGGTTTATAAAATAGATCGTTTCTATTGAAGGCCGGTGACTTGAGTACTGTGGCAAGGTTATTAGCATTGCGGTAGCTCAAATTCCATGAATTGCTCATATTTCTCATTCATCATAGAAAGTTAATGAATTGGCGAACCATTTTCTTATGTAGAGCAGTTTGGGCTTGCACCTGCCAATTTTTTCTATACGAGAACAGAAAACGTACGTCGAACTGATTTTAAGTTAATTTAAAATTAACGCTTCTGTGATGGTCATTCTCCTTGCCCGTAAAGAATTCTCAGTCATTTACAAAATTTCCCTTTTTCATCAGCATTTTCCAATTTCTAAAAAAGTGACTTGTATTTATTTAAAATTTTACCGTATTTTTAAGTTACTTCATGTACCGTATTTCCATGCCTCACATACATATTCAGAAGTTATGTATTTTAACTAATTTTTTTAAGCCGGATGAAATTTTACAGATATTGACGTGATTGTTCAAGACTCCGAGAGACTAATTCTGACTTTTAAATTCAAACTTCGGATTGCGGCAGTTTTTTTTAAAGTCCATTTGAACTAACGATTGTTTTCGTAGTGCGTTTTAAAGGAAGTTCTTACTTTCATAATTCTCTAACCGTATGTAGACTGTCACTTCAAAATTTCTTGAATCCGATTGACAAATTATTTTTTTTGGTTTTACTGAGAAAGTTTGACGAGTATCTCGAACTCAAGCCTAATACGACAAAGAAGAGAATCAATGACCTTTAAATTTATGTTTCACGAAATTGTAGATCTATTTATTAACCTAGAATTTGTACCTACTGTATTTAAATGCAGTTATCGAATATCGCAATATTCGAATAGTGTTGTATATAGAGGGATAAAATAAATTGCCACATTATCGAATAGTCATAAAGGACCAAATCCATAATACATTAGATCTGACCCAACGCCTGCTTGACTTTTGAATTTTTCGCCCCCAATTGTCCGCGATACTAATAAAATTCTAAGCAAGGAAAAGCCAGGGTGCGACAGCGACAACAGCGCTGTGGCTCCAGTGGAAGACAGTGATTTTGGATGGAAGGACGGATCTAGTTCCTAATGTTGCTACGCAGAACGTGAACCTGCGTTCGTGACGACCTCGTGATGTTCACGTTTGAAACCTCCAAGTGATGTTCCCTGACCTTGTATAGACAGACGTCCCATGAATCCTTAATCCAAACCTGCACCAGCCGCCCCGGGATGATGGACCTCTCTTCGAACACTCAGCTGGACCGAACCATAGATGCCAATTCTTCATTCAGTACACTGTAAGTCCGGCAAGGACAGGGCGTGATTCTTTGTCAAGGATGGTGTTGGGTTGAAGATCTAATAGCCGTTTCACAGCCTGATTTAAAATTAAGATGTAGGGCCAACTGATCTAATCTATTTTTGTCAATAGAGCAAATAAGATGGATTGCTTTTTCAGATTAATCCAAATGATATATCATTGAACAATTGATCGATAACTGATCCCAAATTGATTGAATGATCGTCTAACTCGCTAATTGATTTCGAATAAACAGATGACAAAATCCAAGTACAACGATTGAGACCCTAATCTCTCCTCAGTCAATTAACGTCATCTTCACTATTTACTTGATAGATACCGCTTGATGACCTTTGCATGACGTCATCCGCCTCAAGCTTCTGCTGGCCCTTCATTGAACGAAACAATGGCGGAATTCATGCAATTCTTATAACTTCCTGCACACGGTTGATCGAATAAATTATTTTGCATATACCGTTTTTATCTACTCCGCCATAAAGTTTTCGTTAGTCTCAATTAAAAATGCATTCTCTGAATGAACGGATGTATATTTATCGGCGTTTTCGTTCGATCCAATTCGTGAATTTTTGTTCGATCCAACCCGAAATCAACATAAAAAATAGGCTAGCTGTTTGAAAAAAATGTCTTTCATCTGCTCCATTGCGGCGAGATTCTACTTATTAAGCTCAAAACTCATCAAGAAATTTATGATTTTATTCCAGTTCGAGTTACAGACAAAGGTATATTATGAGGAATCAGGACTAATACTGGATTATAGTCATTTCAAATGTCTATAATTTCGTCCTTATCTGAATAAAAAATATAATCATTTGAATAATTCGGTATAATGATAGCACTACAACATATTAAAACTTCAATTTCTTAGAACACATTCAAGTTGCGAGTCACCTGCCATTTCACTCAAAGTTTTTACTTACATGTCACCAATGTTTCAATAATTTGAAGGCGACAGTCAGTTTAATTTGCTGCTATGATATCCATCATTGGAGGTTTAGGTTATGCATGCCACGCTCAGGCTTTGTCGATGAATTGATGAACCTGACGCACTCGTCAGACGCACATGCGATGGTCAGTAGAATATATCCCAATAGCGTTCACAGTAAATTAATTTTCTAAAATAATAAAAATTTTTCTTACGGTTCACATATAAAATTGATATAATGTTATGGTCTGATTAATCTTATATGATAATTTTAAAAATTTATGTTATAATCTTATAAATCTCATCTTATAATATTATAAATCCTATGTTATAATCTTATAAATATTATCTCATAATCATATAAATTTTATCTTAGAATCTTTTAAATGACATCTTAAAATCGTATATTACCTTATATTTTTATAAATCGTATCATATAATCCTTATAATCTATTAAATTAGACAATATCTTGCGGTAGTAACATTGCATGACGAGGTTCAAATTCTTGAGTACCAAGCTTGAAATTTTTATTTGTGTACTCGGCGACATTTTTTTAATTATTGGCGATCATTTGGTCCTGCATAATCTAGTTTCCTAATTTCTGTCATTTTTTAATCTACCTTTGAAAACAGTCCTTTAACTACTCTAATCCACGTCTGAATGGCCCTGTTTCTTCTTAAAATTCAAAAAATTATTTTTTTTTATTATTCATGTTAATTGTTCGCTTATATCATGAAATATGATTTAGTAGAATTGGTATATATAAGTACTAAATATTACTTTTGATAGAAGTCTGGCCCTTGAAACCAAGCGAAGTTACGTGCGCTACGAAAGTAACCTCAATAATTTATTCGAAATGCTCATGTTTAGACGAATTTCACGCCTACACGGCAGAATGAACTGCAATTTGAAATAATTTCTCGCCAGATCGGGCTATTGATTTCATCTTCTTCTTTGAGTTGCTTGGCCCGAATCGGGCAGTTAAAACAGAAGTTATTCAGAGAATTAAGTTATCGGAGTCGAGACTTGGCTCTGTGCGGAGATGCATGCTCTGAAGTATTAAAATTACTTGCGTATTATAATTTTAATAATTGAAATATAATTAGGTACTAGCCGTCCCTTGCAGATGTGTTTATGATTTTCATCAAGAGGCATCGTCCTCTTTTTAGCGCATTTTCTCATTTATGTGCTCGTCATGTCCGTCCGTCCGTGACTTCACGTTTTCGTCGACGAGAAAATGCGCTCTCTGTCACTCACTGCAGTGAGTACTGAGTTATATTTTTTCAGTTTGAAATGAAAATTATTCACTGTTTGAAATCTAATTCATCTTCGCGTTGTAAATGATGGTTGCCAATAGGAGTACTCAAAAAATTTCTTTTGATATATTTTTCATATAAGTTATTTATGCTAAATTAACTGAACTTATTTTTTATTTCAGGTAAAAATAGAGAATGTAATTCGTACCATTCGAAATAATCTACTTTAAAAACATTCAGTAATGTTGAAAATATTAAACGTAATTTTTATGGGATTAATTTCGATGATATTTATTGGTGAGTATTGAAGTTAACCAGTTATATTAATTGAACTTAATTTATGAAGAAATACTTTAAAAATAGTACGTCGTCCTTATGTTATATGATGGGGATAAACCATATTCATTTGCATTCGGATTCAATTTCACTTCACAGTTATAAAATAAATGTTAAATATAACTGAAAGAGAAACAATTATACGACCTCCATTTTCGTATGAAATTTCTCGACTATTTTCACGCAAATGAAAAAAAAACGTATCATAAAATTTTTATTGCTCCTGATCGAAAAACTGATTTGCCTTTATTTGTACATAAATAAAATGAATACTTTGTTCGATGTACTTGACTACACAATGAATTATTGGGATAGACCAAATCAGATCACAGGTGCTCTTGCTGCGTAGATTCGGCATTGAATTTAGCGTTCTAATAACCTACGAAAATACTAAAAAATATAACGGTAAAATATATAATAAATGACAATTTTTTGTTCTGAATGACCTATTTTAAGCTGCATAAACACATACACAAAAGTTTTATCTCCTTCGTTGCAGAGAGAAACTACTATATTTGATGACAATATTTTACTGGCACAGAAAATTATTAATAATAAACTGTCTTTAATTCTTACTGGTACAACAGAAAGAAGCGATGCCTCGGATTACCCGTTCACTGGAAGTGCAGAAAAACTTTTCAAGTCGGACCAGAACATATTATTCCAGGACTTGTTCCGCAACTACAACAGAGAAATTCACCCAGTCTTGTCCCACGATCAAGTTATAGAAATAAATTTCGAGATTGCACTTTTCAACGTTCTTGAATTGGTAAGTGGTTTCATAACGAAAAAAACAATTAATTGAAAGTTTCAAATGAAAATACACCAATCGAGTATTATTAAAAATCTCTCAACTGATATTTCATCTCTAAGTTAAGGTTTCTACTAATATAATATTCAGAAAATAGCGATTCTTTCTGTTGAAATTTCTTTTTAGATGTTATAATTTGAGTTTACAATGAATTATTATTTCAAAATTATTAAACGTGTGTTATAACCAGCAGACATTGCCAATGTAGAAGTTATTATAAATAAAGTTCAACCAGCATTCTAGAGATGCAATAATAGTTATCAAATAGAGGTGGCCAAATCTCATTACCTAAGGTCAATTTATGTTTTAAATTCAGCATCACATTGTTTTTTTTTTTTGCTCATGAGAGCAGCAAATCCTTTACTTTTAAATCCGTTTATGACATGAAAAATTCTTTACTTACATGTCATTAATTAATATATTCTGCTTTCATTACTGAAGAACGCAAAGCAGGGCGAGATGACGACGAACCTGGAGGTAATATTGCGTTGGCACGACCCCTTCCTGACATGGGACCCCGCCCTGTACAACTACACCTACGTGCTGCGTGTGCCTCACCACAAGATATGGGAGCCTGATATTATTCTCTACAACTCGTACGTTGTTTCATGTTATATTTAAATGTTATGACTTAGGTAAATAGAATATATAAGTCTGAATGGCTCCAGGTTTTGTTAATCACTTTGTAACTTGCAGAATTTGCTAGTCGCTTTGGAATGCCTTTATTGCGTAAATTTAAAGAATTCCTTGATGCCTTGAAAAAAATTATACAAATCTGCCATGTGCAGCTCGTAATGCATATTTGATCGCCGATTTCTAAAAATCTTTCTGCATATTTTGAGCTTAGTAAACAGTGTTTTAATTTCTATCTAACGCTATATTCTTCATTACCGATATAATTCGATGACGAACTACAGCTACATAATTGCTTTAGCTAATCTTGATGCCCTAAAGCTCAACTCAGAATGCCCAAAGTACTTGCAAAAAACCGTTCACACTGCAATCAATATTCCGCGTACGTGCCTATCCGAATCGGCTCTTGAAATTCCGTATAAACAATAATTTATCACTGGTTGTTTTTTAATATGATTAATTGGATAATCTCTATTAGAATTATTATTAGTTGGAGCGTTCATCACAAGTTTCTTCGACTCTAAATTCTGGTAGATCAAGATAATAAACATGAAAATTTTTGTGAATAGGTAAAAAATTGACTCCATATGTGAACTTTAACTTCAACTACTTGTCTGTCTTATACTTGATTACCTGAAAGAAAAACAAGTATTTATATTAGTTCACATCACGTTCGAGAAAATTTCTGAGCGAATTTTTTTCATCAACTGCAAATCCTTTATTGGTCAAGGATGCAAATTCTCAAGCCAATAAAGTTTTCATTTTTGCGCCGATAATAGTTGATTTAAATTGGAATCTTGACATTGTTCTTTCTGATTTGATGAATGTGTTCTCTCTACCTCTCATATCTCAGATTAGTTAATTCTTTTATATTAGTTTCGCAATGAACATACCTCATCTATTCCTTTCCTTACTGAGCGACGAATTGAAAGAGAAACAATTGAATGATTGCTTGGCCTGCTGATTGAATGATTGCGTGGGCTGCAGATTGAATGATTGCGTGGCCTGCTGATTGAATGATTTGGTTACGTGGCCTGCTGATTGAATTATTGCGTGGGCTGCTGATTGAATGATTGCGTTGGCTGCTGATTGAATGATTGCGTGGCCTGCTGATTGAATGATTGCGTGGCCTGCAGATTGAATGATTGCGTGGCCTGCTGATTGAATGATTGCTTGGCGAGCTGCTTGAATGACTGCGTGGCTTGCTGATTGAATAATTGCGTGGCCTGCTGATTTAATGATTGCGTGGCCTGCTGATATAATGATTGCGTGGCCAGCTGATTGAATGATTGCGTGCCCTGCTGATTGAATGATTGCGTGGCCAGCTGATTGAATGATTGCGTGACCTGATAATTGAATGATTGCGTGGCCAGCTGATTGAATGATTGCGTGGCCTGCTGATTGAATGATTGCTTGCCCTGCTCAGCGCTGCACGGGACTACTCGAGCTCAATCATCTCGACGAACGCAATCATCGACAGCAGCGGCGAGGTGAAGTTGCTGCTGCAGGCCATCTTCGTCTCGACGTGCTGGATCAACATCGCCTGGTATCCTTTCGACCAGCAGATCTGCGACCTCATGTTCGGCTCGCGTACCTCCGACGTCATGCAGGCACGCTTTCTGTCCTGACACATGCATTACTTCTATAGACTTGCACCTGAAGTTGGTCTCCAACGTCCCGTAGGCACGCTTTCTGTCCTGCATTTGCATTACTTTTATAGACTTGCACCTGAATTTGGTCTTCAACGTCATGTAGGCTCGATTATTGTCCAGGCATAGATCATTACTTCTCTAGATTTGCATTTCAAAATTTTTCGTGTCTTATAGCCAAATATTCTAAACCTTGAAGCTTTTACATGATATACCGATATCTTTTCAGCAGAGTTAAAGTGCAACTTTTAATCATGAAATTGAAGTGTAATTTATGTTGATTGTGCCCTAATTTGTCATCTCAATAGGTTCTGGTGATAGTTGTGGCAAAAAAATTAGCTTGAATAACAAAATGTAATTGTTAAATTTTGAATTGAATTTACTCTACAAATTATAACTAACACACGAACTTTATTGAATTTGAATTTAATTTTTAACTTAACGTGCAACTAAACTAGCACGTGAACGTGTCGTCAAACTATCTGCATGTACGCCTAATATTTCGTTAATCATTCTACTCAGATACGCATCACAAAAGGTGACGCTCAGATTTCCCGCTACGAACACAACCACGAATTTGTCCTGGAAAACTTCTACGCTGACATGGGGGAGATAATGGATCCTTGCTGCGATAGCCCCTTCGCGCGTGAGTTGATTTCCTGAAAAAAAATAAATGAAAAATAAACAATTATTTCACATTGTAGCGGGCCAGCCTTGGCCGCACTGTAGTTTTCTTTAGACGCTGCACCTCTCTAACGAAGACCGAAGAGAAGAAGTAGGCGTAGGTAGTTTACTCGGTAAGCAGCTCATTGCGAGTAGGCAGCCTTACCTTTGCCTGACCTACCGCACTTTGTAATGACTAAAAATATTTGCATTTAATGTCTATATCATGTCTGTATTCGTAAACCTCTATGCATTTAGTGATAGTCCTATGTCGTGGATGCCGGTTTTCCATGAAATTTAAGTAAACCTAATGGCCTTTGAAAGTTTTCTGATCCATATTGATTCATCCTCGTACGCTAGGGCCCGCTTGCAGAGACCCATTAACTTTGTGTATGGAGCGTAGTTATCCCGCTACAACATCATGCTATCATTTTTACTTTATTGTATTGAAGTTGTGTGATTTTATTTTACTTCAGTAAAATGTACTCATTTTTAATCTTATGTGATTTGTAAAGTTCGCAATTTTTCAAGGGAATCATATAAATATCTCTGTAATGATTATTCTGTTATGATTACGCTTGGAAAAGTGTAGCTATTTTACAAAAAAACGATCATTTGAATTCAAACGAAATAATATGTTCCTAATTTTATATATGGACAGCGTTATTCAGAAACAAGAATATCATTATAGTTAAAAACACTTCAAATTCTTAAAGGTAGCATGAAATTAAACAATTAAACACGATACAATGTCCCCGTAGAATTATTTCCATGATTCGTTATGAATTAATATTGAAAGTTCTGTCTTATGTACATTTTTCTTTTTATATGACAAATTGCAAGTCTTGCTTGGTTTTGGCAGTTGTGTCGTACCACGTGCAGCTGCAGCGGCGCTACAAATTTCCCGTCTTCTTCTTCATCATGCCGGGCATCCTGATCAACATCTGCGGTAATAAAAAATTATTGTCGTTGCTTAAATACTGAAATTTTTTCTATGTCGCGCATTCTTTTAGGCATTCCATCTTCTTATGTCAGTTATGGAAAGATAGGGTTCCAAAGCCCTTGTGAATCAAGTCACGAAAAATTCAAGAATCGGCAACAGGCCCTGGGCTTATTTCTTCAATGCCGACACTTCTATTCTATTCTATTGGGACTAAAAAAAACAGATACTTAAATCTTAGATGCAGATTCCGTAGATTTTTATAGGTGTTGACAGTGTTTTTTTCAGTAAATGTAATCGCTGACCTCGATGGTCATTCAAAAAATATCTTGGTTACGAACAAAAAATTGGTTAAACTTCTACACAATTTGATTGGCAGTTAGAATTTTTTTATCGCAGCCGTACTTGTGTTCTCGCTTCCTGCCGAGTCGGGAGAAAAAGTTGGTTTGGGCATCAACTCCTTACTGGCAATGATGGTCTTCCTCATGGCCATGATAAACAACCTGCCACCTGCAGAGTCCATTCCTCTTGCTGGTGAGTCATAATTTTATAATATTATTGACCATTATTTATGACCATTAATGAATTCATTAATTTAATTACTTGTCAAAAATTGCAAATGTGTTATACGCTGTTCGAGAAAAAAAATCGTGAAAAAACGGTCTCACTGGTGTTCTAGTGACCGGCCGTCACGTGAAAATAAACAGTTTCAAAGATTTTTTCAGATGTTTTCTGGGTTTCTAGTGGTAAATTGGAATAAAAACGACCAAACGGTGTTTTTTTCACGTGCCGGCCGGTCTGATACATAGTAGTATAGTTTGTTGGTGCATAGTTGTACCTCTTTGTTTTCTCTATTCGTGAGTCATGCTTCACACTAGCGAGTCAGTTTTTCATTGAAAATATCGTTGTTATAGCGTATTGAGGTAATCTGCAGGCATGTTCTTCGGAAAAATTATATGGTTTCATTAAATATTACTTTGTTTCATTTCAAAATTTAAGTGAAATCCATCGATGTCTAACGAAAATTAATAATTGTAAGTGTACACGTGTAGCCGACGGCAGGCATGTGCAACGGTAAAACTATATATAGCGTTCAATACAAAAAAAATGAATGTATCTATGTCTTACGAACACAAATAATATTGAGTGTGCACATGTAACGACCGGCAGGCATGTACTACGGTGTGTGTCTGGCGGTGATCACGACGAACATCGCTCTGTCCGTGGGCGTAATGAACCTCTCACATGGCGGCGAACGTGGCTACAAGCTGCCCTGGGCCCTCAAGTGAGAAAATATATGCGTATTAATACGGACTTTTTATTTACGAGACACAATACGGACACAATACGGTCTTCTCTCATATGAGTGATAATACGGACTTTTAACTTACGAGAGAAAATACGGACTTTTCTCTTATGAGAAAAAATACGGACTTTTTTCTTACGAGAGTAAATACAGACTTTTCTATTACGAGAGAAAATTTGGACTTCTTTCGTCTCTAAGATGACAAGAACTCATTGCCCTCGCTAACTTGTTGTTCGCATCCTGAAAACATAATTTTGAACGTGTAACGACCCATATAAAATTACTTTATTTTAAATTTAAATATTATTAACGTCAACACATCTTTTTATTTCTAGCATATGGAAAATGAGTTTTCATCACAGAAAGGGGCCTTTTTTTGAATGGGACGCTGTCTGGCTTCATAACGCTTGATATAATATAAATAAATCTTCTCGCATTGTAAATAATTATATTCCAACGATTTAGTTGGATGCTCAAAGTTGTAAAATAATTTATTAGTTTTTTTTTCATTTTCCTATTTTTTTTGGGCGCAGAAACAAAGTTTTCTTTTCTGAATTTAAAGAATTTTACAATTTAGTTTGAAAATTAATCGAATGAGAAAAATATTTTCACATTGTGCTCAATTCACATTATGTATCGGAAAAACTTTTACTCTAAAATGCTACAGTCAAATAATTTTACAAGCATCGCAATGCCTAATCTCTTAATAATTTTTTCCGTTGTCTAATCGTTCAAAGTTTTCGTAAATGGTAGTTATGGGGTTTAAAATATTCTTTAAATCACGGCATTTCTTTCTCTCCTTGGTCACCTCCTCGCTTTTCCTTAACTAATTGCGGCGATTAGGCTGTTTAGATCACCAAGATCTGATCAGTAAGTGGGGGCTCTTAACCGCAACTATAGTTATAAAAATTCTAATCAATCGATTATATGGCCGGTTCGTTAAGAATCTATGCCAGGCCAACTTGGCTCTATCAAAGCTGAGAGACACCATGGTTTATATTATCATCATTGCTATTAATAGAGCTCCTATACCATTATTGTTATGATCATTGTATTATTAATGAAGGCTGAAACAAATGCTCGTTGCAGGATTATGACGAAAGCGATGTCTCGATGGCTGCGCGTGTCCGTGCATCCAATTGTGCAGCGGCACTGGCAGAGGCAGGAAGAACAGGCGAGCTCGTTATTGGTGTTGCAATTTAATTTAAAAAATTTATAGCTCCTTAAATTCAATTAAATAATATGAAAATAATGAAAAATTATATATTAATATATATATTAAATAATATGGTAATTAGTAAAATAATTAATAATTCAAATAATAATAAACATTTTATGGCTCTTTTAATAAATTCTTTTTCTTAGTGAATTGATAATGTACAACAAACGTACAAGGAATAATTTTTACTTTTTCGCAAGTTTGATAACATTGCCCACAAAATAGTATTGAAATGTATGATTTAATATTTCTTGAAGCTATTGTCCGATGAGCTCTGACACTATTCTTAAATGCGCACGTTGTGTGGCTTAAAACTTTTTGTACTGAAAAACAGTGTACTAGTTGAGTTACATGTTTTATCCAAATTATTATACTATATCTTGCCGCTGAAATAATCATATCTGCTTTAAAAACAAAATAAAGAATAAACGGCCTCTAAAATAGAAACTAATTTTGTTAAATATTATGTTCAGGAACAAGATGGTGTCTTATTCGAATCCCCGACTGTGTTCGAACGCTCGGAAAGAGCCTGGCGATCGCTTAAAGTCCGTCCGAAAACTCCTGAAAATGCGGACAACAACCCGTGGGTGCCGGTCAAACGAGGTAAATAATTTCATCAATGTTTCATGTCCTAAGACCATAAACGGTCCCGGATTCTTCTCTGATCATACATTCTTAGTAATAAAGAAAAAGTTTCCGCACAGGAACTTTCGACCGATTCAATGCCATGCCCGAAAATTTTTTCATAGTCACAAGCGTAGCCACAGCCGCATTTTTTTATTTTACGATGTATTCACATTTTATCTTCCTGCAAAAAATTAGAGATGTCTGCCCCTTTAAAACAAGGTCACTATTGCTATATGTAAAGCAGAAGTTGCCTTCACAATTTCTATTCTCTGAAATTTTACTCCATTTCATGTTAAGTCATCCTACGGTCAATGCGCTCACTATATTTTCCTAGTATTAATTCCTTGCCATCCCGGAATGCCCAATAGCAGTGTTCCAAGACCTTCTTATTGCCCAATTAAAAAATGTGCTTTTTAAAACATGCTAAAAGAATGATAATAATCAGATTAGAAGTTATATTAGACTAGAATTTATAGATTAGAATTAGAAAAATAATAGTTAGCTTCGTACTTCTTATAGAAATTTTGTTAGAATTGAAATACATTTTTCTTTTCTCGCACTCAGCCGCCTCTGACGAAAAATATGAATTACTCCGTTTGGCCGCAGTTAGGGAAACACTGCTCTTTACGGTTAACTTTATTCTAAGGAACCTTTCTAAGGAAATGTTGAATTGAAGAAAAGAGTGCTTCTTTATCACTCTTTATCTTTATATATGATGAAAGGTTTGATGTAAAAATTTAATCAGCACCTTTTATTGCACTTAATTGAAATCAGTGAATAAAATTGAGAAAAAAATAACTTCTACCATCTCTTCAAATAATTTTCTTAATTCTACTTAATTCACCTAGTATATAAATGAATTTATAGATATATTAAGTTTTTGATTAAAATCAGACAATGACATGACCCGGAATTGTTATTTCTGTCGTTAATTTAATTCGCTTAATTTTTATTTACCGAAAACATTTAATTCTGCCATCATCATGGATCGATTTTTCCAGCCTTTTATCCACTTTGCAATGCGCAAGCTATCTTCGGTATTTTAACACACATCTGACCAGTATAATAAATATATTGGCTCAACTGATATACGAAAGTATTATTAATATTTGTACGCACAGGCAGTGAAGGCTTAAATAAATAATTTTGATAGGTTCTGTTGGCTCATTTCAGGTGAAGGTCTCCCTGAAGCATCGCCCATACCTTCAGCAGAAGAACGTGACGTGTTCGTCGAGGAGTGGAAACTGGCGTCGCGAGTGATGGACCGTTTCTTGTTCATTTTGTTCTCTGTTATCACTGTTCTCTTCAACTCGATCATGCTCACTAGCTCCCCTTATGGGATTGACATGAACGCGTGCAATGAAGACGAGGGCTCTTGTCATGTAGACTAAGCTGGATTTCTTAGTCTATAATAAGGTTGTTGCACGTATTGTTTGTATTGGTACGTAGTGAAGACAAAACCGCATTATTTGAAACACAAAACCGTTAAATCAAGTTGTAGATTATAAAATGAATGCGCATGGTAACTGTTTCAGAATAATATTTAAAAGGTTGCATGCACCTAAGATTAGCTGTACTTATAATTACATCTCATTCCAACCTGAAAAATTTTGTGGAAAAAATTTTCAGAAGAGGAATACGGTCTATGTTTTCACGATAGGAAGCACTCACAGTGTACTAATATTTTGCATTGAAGAAATGGATCAATATCCATGCATCCGACTCAAACATTAACATTAGCATTCAACTGCTTGATCAATGATGTTTGGATACCTAATTGCCTAACTTAATTTTTCGATTTTTCCAAGAGAAAAATTCAAGTAATTTCTTAATTATTTAATTTAATTATTAAATGTGTTTCGAAATTATTAGCTCACGATCAATGTAATTGCTTATTAACGCCAGGTAAAAGTTATAATACAAATATTAAAATACTATTAAAACTATAATTTTAAATGTAAAAGAAACCTAATCTTTTATTCTTGATTGCTTCATAATAACCACGCATTGTGATTGTGTGGTACGTTCTACTGAAAGACATTGAAATGTTATTTAAGGATATGCTATGTAAAAAAGTATATAAATTTTGAAATTATAATCAGATATGCACGATTTAGACTAAGTACTAAATCGTCAAATATTCTAAAAAGTATAGAAAATACCAAGCGAATTCACTATTATTATGTTGAAAAAGTGGTACAGGTGAATTTACTTTGAGCATTTATTCTGCAAATTGGATTTATTTATTTTATTATTTCAAATGTTTATTGATTTCTATCTATGCAAAATGGTGATTTTGCATAGATCGCAAATGGTGAATTAAATTTAAAAAATTAAATTGTTCAATCTCGTTGAATCGTAAAAAGGCTTAGTAGAAAATCCGAGAAATTATACATGTAGCCACTGTTTGTGTATTTCAGCATCATTTTTAAATTAATATCCTGTTTACTGAAAGTTGTTTGACAGCTTATTAGTCCGGTCAAAAAAATTCCTTCTTAGGTTCCTTTATCAGTTGGTTAGAGACGTCGATATCGGTGCATGCCGTGTGCGAAGGAACATAGCTATTCGGTTAGTTCTTTTTGCTTCGACGATTTTTCATTATTGATTAATTGGTTCATATGTATGCTATTTTATTTACATATAGAACATTCTCATTATGTTTGCCAAATATAATTTTTGCCATTGATTTCTGGGAACCTTATGTCATGGACTATTCGTTTCATATTTTGGCATGGCTGCGTGATTGAGATACAAGTTCCAAAAGGACTTTAACACATGAATGTCTTTTCCCGATACACATCCTACAACAGATTGTTCAAGTCCTATGAGGAGGTGTCGCAGAATATCTTTTACATGAGTAAATAGCCTGTGCGGTAGTTCATCTGAAACTGAACGCACGACACCTACTAAACATTTCAATTCACTGCTCGTGTAATCTGTAGTGTAGTAGCAGGCCAACTTCTTGCCGTATATGAAACGCTGTGTGTTTTTTGTAAGCTCCTGCACTCCAAACATGGTCAATGATTAGAAGTTCTTGACGTCATTCCTAGTGAAGTATGATGTCGTATTCGAGAATCAGAGTTTCTAGCTAAACCTTCGATGTCGTCGTCGGCATCCGTCCGTCTCGTGAGACGATGGGTTAGCTATCGGTCTCGCCTGCATCGCCTAGAGTGGCTGTGCAGACCGATTCTGGAGTGAACATCCAATCCACAGCCATCACAGGTGAATGCAGATGGCTGTCACAGCTGCGTCGCCCGCTGTTTCCGTCTGAATCTCCTCTGAGAGTCGCCATCGCGGTGCTCGACCTCAGCGCAGAACACGGCCTGCCCGACAGCGAGTCTCCAGCCCTGGCGGTCGGCTACTTGGGTCTCCCACGAGGATGGGTCGATGCGGCACCGTTTCAAATCCCTCATGCAGATGTCCTTGAGGCGTAGTTTCGGGCGTCCCGTTTTCCGTCGGCCTTCCACGAGCTCGCCGTAGAGGCGGTCCTTGGGAATGCGGCCCGCTCCCATCCTACTGGCATGCCCCAGCCACTTGAAACGTCTCTCGCTGAGAACTGAGAGCAGACTGATCATATTTGATCGCTCTAGTACCACAGAATTGGGGACTCTGTCCTGCCACTTGATCTGCAGTATGCGCCGAAGACACCTCATGTGTAAGCCGTCAAGTTCCCTTTCGTGCCCGCATAAGTGGTCCATGTCTCGCAACCATACAGGAGAGTGCCGAGGACGCAAGCCTTGTAGACGCACAGTTTAGTCTTCACGGTGAGGCTCGAGTTGTTCCAAACACGCTGGGTTAATTTGGCCATGACTGTGGCGGCCCTGGCAATCCTGCTGTTAATCTCTGAGTCGATGGACAGTGAACAGGAGATACTGGACCGTAGATAGGTAAAGTTCTCGACGACCTCCAGGGTGTAACCATCCAGAACAATGCTCGGGGGAGTCCCAGTGCCCTGGGACAATACCTTAGTCTTTCCCAGGAGGCCAGGCTGATGATCAGGCCAAACTCTTTGCAGGCATAGGCAAAGCGGGTGATAAGCTGCTGGAGTCCTCCCTCGGTATGCGATGCCAAGGCTTGATACCGAGGGTTTTCCGGGTTTTGGCCCGAAGACGGGCTATATTGAAGAGATTGCCGTCGTTTCTGGTGTGTGTGAAAACGCCTTCGTTACAATATACAAATTTGATTGAAAATGTATACAAATTTGATTGAAACCTTCGATATAGCAAGCCGGTAATACAAGGATGTACACTGTTCTTGTAAATAAATTCGGCTGGCATTCTACGACACATCACTCCCCGAAAATAGACATAGTTATTCAACTTATTAATCAAATCCTATTTGTATTCCTAGCCTTCTCCAGTAGCTGAAATAAACTAAGTTGAAGTTGATTTAGTCAAGGTTGAACCAGCTCAAGCATTTTAAATCGGCAATAATGGTCATCACTTGGTCTACATCCCAATGAAAAGCAAGAGAGTTCCTAGCGTTTTCCGACATTTTGTTGGCAAAATACAGCAAAAAATTTAAAATATTGAATCTTCGCGATTTCATTGAGAGTTCGTTTTCAAGCCAATTGATGTACGCGGTCAAACGTGCAGTATCGTTAATTCGACCGCTCTCCGCACACTACTTTATTGTAGTTCTAGAAGACTAACACTCTCATCATAAATTATTTGTACATAGCGTACCAAGATATTGGAGCAGAAAGGCGCGGGTTCGATCCCAGCTCTGTGCCCCAGTTTCTGGTCAGAATCGGCAAGGAGGCCGGGCGGTTAAGCACAGCAGAATTGTAGCAGTGAGTTGCGAGTTCGAGACCGCAAAATGCTGTGAATGTACTCTGATATTTAGAATCGGCGACAGGCCTACGGCCTACTAATCGCTGAAACCGCTATTAATATTAAATTATTATCGTTATAAAGTATAAATACCTGGCAAATTAAACAGATCTCGCATCAATATCAATTTGGGTTTCATTGCTGCGAATCTAGCCTCAGTTTTCTTATGATAGGAAAACAAAGGAAAATTTGAAACAAGTTATATCCCTGAAGATCATAACAGAATGCAAAGTTTTATGGATCGAGGTAGTAAAATGCGATTAATTCAAGGAAAAACCACAGGATCAATCACGAGTTCCATCTTTCACCATTCCAATGAAAGTGAAGAATCCGCGAGGACTTCAAAAATTAATATAATTGTTGACATTTTTAATTTCGCGTCACTTTTATGTAATATTGATCATACTACGTTTTAGGTCATTGCTATACATATCATTTATTGACCATTGAAATTTAAAACAAGTAAGGTTATCAGTCAAGTGACACGTTGCAACGCCGTTGAAGAATTACTTGAGCTCATGGTTGCTCTGCAATAACGTTGATGGTATAAGCTTCCAATCAGCACGGTGGGGGTTGTCGACTGAAAGCCACCCTGCTGCTCAGTTATGAAGATAAGCAAGAAAACAACGAAACAAGACTGAGGATATAACGAAAAGTGATCATTAATGAGGTTATCGAAATACAGAAAAATTGTACTATGTTAGAGGGGAGTAGCCTGTGGCAAACTTTGATAATATAACCTAACATAAGATGAATGATTATTTGACGAGGAAATTTGGCAAAAGTGATAAGCAAAAAAAATTAGGATTTCAGCGAATAGTAGTGGAATTACGTTCAAATTTTTACGCAGTTTCCTACAACACCTTTGTGATGAATCAACGAATAAACGGTGAGGTCAATGGTAAGGTTTCAAAACATAATTTTGACATTGCTATCTTATCAGTACATAAAGTATTTCAATACATTCTCAATTTTATTTAAGATATAAACTTGGCTAAACACCGAATTGATGCTCTCCTGGCTGCTCTAATTACACGTAACGGTCCTAATCCTATCTATGACCATTTCAATATACCAAATTGCAACCGTCGACATCTGCATTGATGGTTATTTAGGATTTGATACGTTGATATTATCAGGTCGACCCTGATGCCATCTGCTTTTCAATACTTTGATTCAGTACGTCCATGAACGATATTTTCAGGTTGATTTAGAAACAATTGTATTTATTATGTTTAATCATTTGTAGTCACGGAAAATTTATTTTGATTGACGTACCGTAACAAAATTTCAGCGACTATTTCAGCACTTAAGTCATGGAAAAATTTAGAGGGTTTCACCCTAAAAATAAAGTTGCAGAAACTAATATGGTGGCCCGGTATTAGGTTGCCTGTGTGGAGGTGAAACATTAAGTTATTAATTTAAATAGAAAATTTATGTATTAGAGGCTATAAAGTTTGAACTAATGCTTGTTATTGTCTGTTGTGAATTTAGGATAAATAATTATGATGAATGCTTTCAACATGATACTTTTTTTCAGTAGCCCTACGGCCCTACCTACTAAAAAAGGGAATGATTAATAGGTAGTTGTGTGACTTGTGTCTGGATAAGATCATCAAGATGTTGAGAAGTGAAAATTTCGTACCTAATTTAGAATAGAGTAACTTGAGTGTTATTAGAAATTTTTATTATTGCAGTATTGAAATGAATGGAATCTGTGCAATGCATTTAGCCAATGTGATTTGGGAAAATATTAATAAATTTTGTTATGAATTCTTTAACTAGGACCTAGCTAGCTAGGTAGATCATCATCTTGTACCTAAATGTTGAAGTCAGATAAATGGATGTTGATAACGAAACAGAATTTGAAGCTATAATTATCTGTTAGCCTAGTACTTAGTAGTTAGTAATAATAATATTACAAATGGTAGGCTAGTTACCTAGCTTTTACTTAGCTACCTATAACACCCTTATCAAGTTAATGAAGTTATCATTATTAATTATTTATAGTATACTATAGGCCTATTTTGGTTTTAGAGTATAGGGTAAACACGGTAGGGTAAACGCGGTATATTCCGACATCGTAGGTAATTCAGTCACTTCCCTAGTTTTTCCTTTATATTAAGCTTTGTTTTAGTTCCATGCGGCATGCATTCATTGATGGTTGAAATGGTGACGTCATACATTTGCGTGTCGAAATACTGCAAAAACACTAGGTCTTGGCCATCTAGTGGGAAAATATTGAGATCCAAAGAGAGACAATGCATGCCACCTGGCACCTGGTGAGTGGTGACTACTGACTGGTGAGATCATCAAAAAATGTGTCAAATTTGACAGTTGACCTTGCTCTACCAAATAGTGAATAACTGTTTGGGTATTATTGCAGATTAACTACATCCAAAAAAAAGGGTGTTTTTTTAATTATATGTTTTTTGGGGTGTAGATTACGAATCTGAAATCCATTTTTGGCGGTCGGCATCGGAAAACCTGTTATCTCATTATTAACGACTAGTCACTAGTGTTTTCATTGTTAAGTTATCGAACTACTGAAGAAACCTATCGACTATCGACTGCATAAATCCTATCGACTATCGACTGGCATGCGGTTGTTCAACGACCAGATGACCTTGAGATAAATTTTACAACGACTCTTGTGCCACACTATGAGACCTCGGCTGATTTCAAGTGGTAAATAAATTAATAGATGATTAAGTTGAGAAATGGATTTAGACACATGAAAACTAATTCCGTCACAACTTGAATTGGACACACACAGATCGTTCCAAGCTGTGTACAAAAATTAAAATTTGCTTAATTAAAAGCTTAATAGTTGTTAATTAAAAGCGTAATTAAGTAGTGTTCAATATTCATTAGTGTTCTAATTAAAAGCCGTGTTGTATTCCAATACAGCTCACACATGACACAGCAAACGGAATTCGAACACGTGGATGACGGCATTACGTATCAGTAGAATTTGAAGCACGGACGTAATACGCCTCACCACGTGCTGAATATTGCCACACACAGTGACGGAATATAGGGATTTGCCGCCGATTGGTAGGTTTCCATTCTAAAGGCTTTTAAATAAATATGGCAACATTTTGTGACGTTTCGTTGTTGCTGGCGTGTAGTACGGTGTTTTGCAAGTCAAATAAAGCAAACAGAACTCGAGTAACGCATATGGTTATTTTTTATAGTTTTTCATTTCTCGATGCGTCCTTAATGTGACGGAATATACCGCGTTTACCCTATTTTACTTTCTTTTCTGTAATCTAAATAGCTAGGCTAGTAGCTAGCTAGCCTACTCCTCATTCTCTAGATTTAAATCTCTTGTGTAATTGGAAAATTGCATGATCAAGTTGATAGCTATACCAAATTTACTAAAAAACCTGACTTTGAAACTACAACATGTTAGCAAGAAGTAAGATTTTTTCTATTTTGGTACAAAGTAGGATATATCTGAACAAATAAACTTGCCTTCATTTTTAAATATCATTGGTTAATTCTAAAGCATTGATCGTAGATTTACTTCTGTAAATTCAACCCTGTTCTTAACCCTTTACGCCCTGGCGTGACGAATTCGTCACACAGAAAAAAACATCGGTTTTCCAACAATTTCACGTTTTCTGTCAGTTTTTCGAAAAATTCACATGAATAAAAAAAGTCTTAGATTTATTTTTTACATATGTGTACCAAGTTTCAAAGTTATCTGTCGGTAAGTAACCGAAAGAAAATTTCCAATTTCCAATGGCAATGTCCAATTTCTTATGGAAATTTTATTTCGGTTAATTACTGACAGATAACTTTGAAACTTGGTACACATATGTAAAAGATAAATCTAAGACTTTTTTGTTTGTGGGAATTTTTCCAAAAAAGTGAAAGAAAACGTGAAATTCTTAGAAAACTGACAAAAAGGGGGTACTGTAGAAATCTTTCACCTCCTATGATTTTCGAGCTACAACATCGAGACGCATATCATTCGATGCGTAAGGACCATATCTATCGATTGGTCCTTGCTGTTTTTCAAAATTCTAATTTTTGTGGGTTGGGTGGGCATTTTTCGAAAAAATTGGTTTCTCCCCCCCCCCTTCTGAATTTCCCCTCCCCTTTTTTCAAAATATTTTCAAAACTATAACGAAAATGAAAAAAAGCTTCAACCAATTTCTAGATCTTTTATTTGCGAATCGAACGGTATATTACTCATTGCTGTAGCTTAAAAACTCTGGGAGGAGATAGGTTTGCAGTGAAAATAAGTGTGAATGTTCAGTAGGGCGCGACAAAGTCCCGAGCCCCTCAAAATAGGCATTCAAGGTGACATAGATGCAAGACTAGACATTACTGGAGCTGAAATTCAGTCAAGGATGGTGGGAACGACTGCATGAGCACCATCCCATACGACAGCAGCCGGGTAACTAAAGAGCAGCGTCTTCAGGTTGTCTATTTATGTGCCCGACCAGTAATTTTCGCCCATATTAAATGTTAAAGAACTCCCCCACCCCTAACCCTTTCACGAACTGTCATCAAGGCATAAATCAACGTACAGAGACGATTTTGGTACCGTTGGAGAGGTCAGAATGTCAGCTTTGAAGTGAGACTTAAAACCGAAAAAGTGAATTTTACGATTTTCATCCCAGAAATTCAGGGCGTAAAGGGTTAAATAATATAATATAGGATTAAATAACTGACAAAATGCTTTGGTTTCCATTTAATAAGGACTAAACTAAAGCTGGACAATTTGCAGTGTAACATTTATAATTGTTCCTTGTACCAGTACCTTTTATTTGAAAGAATGTATTCATGAAATGCATAACTCTATTTTCAGGTGAAATTGTTGTGAAACTGGCATGATAAATTGAAGATGTCATTAAAGTCTAGAATATCGCTTTCTGATAAGGTTGAAAATGAGATACACAAAATTAAAGATGACTTAATTGGAGTTGATGAGTCCATTCGCCGCCTGTCTGGAAGTTTTACTTCTGGTACAGTCAGGTAAAAATGTGTAAATTTTTCAATTTTTACAGGAATTTATATGATACATTTATGTTGCTCAAGTATGATACTTCCTTTTCCTCATCATGTTTTCTAAAACAAATTGAAAAGCACTAGTTTTTAGGTACTTTTTTTATATTTAGCTTGTGATTTCTGGTACCTATTGTAGAAAGAGTGAAGAGTATGTATTTAATCTTAATCTAAATTGTAATCTGAATTGTCTAAATTGTGAAACGTCTCCTGTGAGTAATGAATGGGCTTAAATCAACTCAAATGATGGTTTGATGTAACCCAGAAGGTTGGAAGCTCTTGCTGTGTATATATTATCTACAGATTTTTAGGTTATGTACGGTAATCTATTAATGCATAAATTATGTTCTCATTTTCTAGGGACTAATTTCTTTTCTACTGATATATGTAATTGCACAAAGACTTTTGAAACCTAATCTTCCTTTTTTATTGTAAAAGGATATTAATAAAATATTTTTTCAAGAACCTTTTATCTTAAAGTAATATGCATGAGTTAGATGTTTCTTACTATTATTGATAAAGTGGCCTTTGTTGCAGGCATGAAGCTCGAAAGACTGCTCCACCCCAAAGGAAGGATGAGCCACCTGCCAAGCGAATGCAGATGTCTGGAGGTGTATTTGCAAGGTAAAAATTTATTGCTTTATTTTTAAATCAGTTTGTTGTATATATATACTTGTGGTAATATCCTATATCTGATATCAGACCTTTTTCTTCTACTGAATTTATTTTTACTGCTAAAAAAGTAATATCAATTTAATTTATGAATATCATACGGTATTATGCATATACGGTAATCTCACTTGTCAACAAGACTTGCTCACAACTTTGTCACCCGATTCAAACAAAGGCTGCTAACCAGTTCTACTGACAAACTCTGCACAACTCAGTTGTCAGTAAAGCTAGGTTCTTATTTTTTTCATACTGCTCAGGGGTCTTTCATACTCTCAAACTTATGATAAATGAAGCTTCCACGATAGCTTTAAGTAAGAAGAAAGTGTGGTTTCAGGTATCTTGTGAAGCTCGAAGTAAAATTAGATAAATAACTAATGAACAAATGAAATCATGTTAAAATGTGATAGTAACTTTGATGTTATCAACATTGCTAGGTAAGTATAGCTAAAAAAAGTACGGTAGGTATGAAGTAATATACCTACTGTCTGTACAATTTTGAAGATCATTATATGAAGAGCGTTACTGATGATAGTAAAAAAGAGTTGTCTACTCATTTTAGAGGCTACTATTGATTAAATGTAAATAAATGAATTTCAATTAAGCAATATAGATTTGGTTTCCAAGCTATTTCATCAGCAGAAAGAATGAAATAAATTCTGTTTTTGAGAAATGTGGGTAGTGTTTATTTGATTTTTTCATATTTTATCCATTGTCAATTTCATGAACCAGCAACGTGTGAACTTTTCTTTTTCCTTTTGGAATAAATGCACATGATTAGTTTAAAAAATACCGTAAAATGGGGTAACTTAGACCGGCGGGGTAACTTAGACCACTTTTCGTTTTTTTAACAAAAACCCCCACAACTCAAAAACTATTTGACATAGAAAAATTTTGTCAATGGGCATTAAAGGCCTAATACTGAGGCTACATAACACAATAGAAAGATTTAAAAAGTTTGCATATCTAATAGGATAAAAAATTGAAAATGTGACCCACGAAAAAAAGCTATCGTTTAAAGCCTGTCAGAGTACCCCCTCCAATTTTTTATTTTTTGGTTAAATAACTTCAGGTTTTGATGCATTGTAGTAGAACTCTTCTAGTTACATATGCAAATGACAAATTTTAGGAAAGTGTCATAGTTTGCAAATGGGGGGCGCCGCCCCAAAATGGGGTAACTTAGACCACCTAATGTCAGCCCTGACAGGGTAACATAGACCGGCTTGGAAGTTAATATAAAATTACCATATATAAAATATTTTATGTTTGACAGCCTATTTATATTTTTTCTTCATGTTTCAGACTCTACAGAGTCTTTATATATGGTAATTTTTACTTAATTTCCAAGCCAGTCAATATTACCCCATCAGGGCTGCCATTAGGTAGTCGCATTTTCCTCATTATGGGGCGGCGCCCCTCATTTGCAAACTATGACACTTTCCTCAAGTTTGTCATTTGCATATGTAACTAGAAGAGTTCTACTACAATAGACAAAAACCTGGAGTTATTTGGAGTTATTTTACCAAAAAATATAATTGATTTTACCACCCGGTCTAAGTTACCCCAGGAGCTGGGGTAACAAAGACCATCACTTTTTTGAAATTACATAAAGACTATGAGAGGCAGGAGCCAGCAATTTATGGTGAGTGAAGCTAGAGTATAGACCTGCATTTTGCATGTTACAATTCAAGTTTAATTTAGCTAGTAAAATAATGGCATCATTTATAAAAAAAGTGGTCTAAGTTACCCCATTTTACGGTATTGTATATGTTGTTTTTTATTTCACTGTGCTACAAGTGTCTGAAACTTCCATTCAGAAGTGTTCATTTCATAAATATTAAATGGAAAAAATTTTCACTGCTATAAAAATCACTGCCATATTTTTCTTTATGATGTAGGTAAATTTCATCTAATATACCATACCATATTGATTGATTTACTTCCCTTATTCACAAGTCTTCATTTATAAAAGTAGGTAAATTTCCCAGCAATGTTATTTGAGCCAATCACCTGAATCTCATTTAGGTGTGCTGAAAAAAAATAACTACTATCAATTTGGTCGAAAAAGTGGTATCCATGTATGTTTAGTTTTCTCAAATCATGTGAATTACTGTTTAATATGTTTAGCTGTTAATTTCTTTAGTGATATTCCTAAATCCAAGTGTGTATTTGTGCAGGCTAGGTGGCGTGGCTGAGGTGGGAGACTCCAGACGCTCTCATTTGAACGGCACAGCAAACTCCAAACCTCGGAGACAGTCTCTGATGAACGCTGAGGATGAAGAGAACAGAGACAGCTCGCGTGTGCGCAGAGACTCTGTCAGGATTGAAGGCAATGTTGCCAGAGGCGCGGCTGGTCGAGTGCGGCCGTATCCTTCTGATGATGAAATGCCACCAGAGGAAGAGGAAGAGGGGCAGTCCAGTACCTCTCTTCCCAAGGTTCGTCCTGAAATTCTTACTGAAAGTCTAGTGTTGACATGACCTTTGTTTGTTAATGTTTGTTATTAATGTTTGTTTGTTGTTAATGTATGTTCGTTGTTAATGTATGTTTGTTGATATTGTTCCCTAATACTTATTAGAAAAAATGAAACTTTTGAAAATTTTATTTACACATTCAAATGTTATGTATCGTTTTGTTGCTGTTGTTAGGGCATCTCGTAGAAGCTACAATATGGATCTAACAAGACTGTGGGATACACTCCAAAAATGCAGGTCGCTTGTGTTGTCAATTATTTTAAATAATTAACTTCCAATTACTATTTGGCATTTTTATTGATTTCACTCCATTGAAATCGAGGAATTTCATTTGATGGCTCTACTCGGTTTGGTGTAGGTATTTTTCCCACTGACTTTTAATTATTTGTACCTAAGCACAAATAATAATATGTGCCAAGTAATGCACACATGTTCCTGCATTCTAAGATAACTTGCCTCTATTAGTCTTATCATGTTTAACGAAAACATTCAAATTAATGTAATTTCTTACGATGTTGTTGAATTTTTCTGATATTAAAAATGTTATCAACTTTTGCTTGCAGCCTGTTGTGGCGTCAAGCATCAGCCGTGTTGTTGGCTCAAATTCCAGGCTGGAGGCTGCCACCTTAGCTACCGCCGACAGGGCCTCCAGAGACAGGTTTGTAACTGCCGCAAATAAGGATATTTTCATGGCCAGTTGAAAGGTTTTGGTCAAAACTTGGAGCAAGACAAAAGGCGAACTGCCTAAAACAAGGTTATGTTTCAAGCTAGAAATTAACGAATATGTTCTTGAAGATAGACAATGAGGATAGTTTGAAACTTTCATCATCTTGCAAAGTATACATAGATTTTATAATGTAAATGCTTGCTCGATGCTGACTTTTAAACTGGCTTCATTTCTCCCAGCATATTAAACTCACACATGCTTTTACATACGAGTGTGTAATGAAAAGTGTTTGTGTAGTCATGAAATTGTCAATTGCATCAAATTTCTTGGAATCTGATGCAAGTCTTTTTCCCAGGAATCGCCGCATGTTTGGAGCTCTTATGGGCACGCTCGTGAGCTTCAAAAAAGATGAAGCGAAGCTCAGAGACAAAGTAAGAGAAAAATGTTCATTGATGAAGCTTTGTGTTCTGTTAGTGATGGTATTAGTGAACTGCATTTAGCCCGTCGTATCTTTATATGTCAAATAGAATATTTTTGATTTCTTGAAGGTATTCTTGAATTTTTCCAAGTTATATATAATAATGTTGATTTAAATTTTATAGCATACTTGAGAAAGCTGTTATCGTGGATATTCAATTTCAATGTATAACTTGGTAATGAATTAAAATGAGGTTGGTATTATGGTCATCATTTAATTAACTGTAGGAGGAGCAACGAATGGCTGTGGAGAAGAAGCTTGAGCAGAAAGGTTTGGAGGAGCAGGAAAGAATGAAGAATGAGAAGCGACGGCTGTTGCATGAACGTCGCATGAAGCTGCAGCGCATGGAGCAACTCGCCGACCACGCCAACAGGGTCAAAGAGGTTTGTCAACTGTAGTGGGCATGTCCTTTATACTGATCACTGTACCTGGGTGAAGGTTCTTGCGCCCTAAGTGACGAATAAGTTACTACAGTTCGCGGTCCGCAGAGAAGAAAAGTTGGAATCCTTTCATAAGATAAGTATTGTGCAGACCGCCATAGTCGTGTAAATGACATTGAAGGAGTATCGGAGCTGTGAAGGGAATGGAAAAGTGCAATAAAAAATCGCGTTTGCCACTGTCTGCCTTCTGCTGTATGACTGCTTAAATAAATGCGGGAGTTCGTTACTTACAGTGTCTCAAGCACTTTTAAAACTTCCAAGATGAGGTATGTTAGGTTAGAGAAAGTGTAATGTGCGACCATATTTCGAATTTGTTATAACTGTTACGCGCAACATGTTTCTCACTCTTGTTAATCGTGTTGGGAACACTTCCTTGTAAGCTGAACATTTGATGATGTTATATCTGGGTGGTGTGTGTGCTCTCAAATATTTTTGTTTGTTGAGAAGTTCGCGCTAAATTCAAGTTAAGTTACCTTGCATTGACCCATCGTTACTGGTTATAAATTATTGCTCTGTCTTCTATGTGGTGAAAGAATGCCTTGTTTATATCTGACTACGTTGAATTGGGATTCGTACGTTCTAAAGTTGATCTTTCAAAAAGAATATGTGCAAAAATTTGAAGAGAATCTCTGTAAAAATATATACTTTAGATTCATCTTATGCTCAAGCTTTCAATCTTTTTATTTCTTATACTTTCATTTTATTATTCAGCACGAGAAGTGGGCAGACTATCAGCTACAGCTGACACATTTCATCCGCACCAAGGCATCGCCTCCTATTTTCTGGCTGCCCAAGCATCCTCTGCGTGCCACTGATGACCTTATCGACGCCACGTCGGAGGGAATACAGCGTTAGTATTTTTTGTCTACCTAGATTATTGGTTTGAAGTTATTCAATATGAGTAATTCTATTCATTGCTCTGAAAAATATATGCATATCGTCCCTAGTCGATCCATGAACTTTTTAAAGTCAGCCATAGAATGTAACTACTTCATAGTCCTAATAGCTTTCCTTATTAATTGTTCAGCCTTATAATAACCTGGTTGTTCGGACCGTGCTGGCAAGTTTGTTATAACGGCTCTTTGTGGTAGAGTTTATTGAACTCTACTTAGACGAGTGATAGTTGTAAATTTCTGATCGTAACAAGGATGCCAAAAAACTTCACCAAAATATTACTCCATGGATCTTGCTTCATTATTTTCATCATATTAGATTTGCAATTTCTTCCCCATATGAATGTGGGATGAATTTTTTTTTGTGTAGCGATAAATATAATGAATCCCGAACTTTCAACCTTGAGTTTTTCCAAAATGACGAATAACTCGACTGTCTCGACATTATCGTATTCAGAATTAAGTCAGAAATTGATTGCTGTTAAAAGACGAACGCATTGCATATGTGATTAATGTTTGTGCAGAGGAGGTGTCATCGCGACGGAAGGCGCTGGAGCGGGAGCTTCGGGAGCTGACAGAAGGCCTCAACGAAAAACTTCACCCACGCAAAAATGGTCGGCAAATTAAAAAACTTTGCTTTGTATAAATTCTTCATTCAAACTATTATTCAATTTCCTACGTTGAGACAACTCAACCTTCAAGAGCTGCTTGCTAGATTTGATTAATGCTGTGCCTTTATTGTTTTCATGTCTATGAGGCTTCCTCTAAAAAGGAAAACATTTGGTTGTGTTAACCAAGGTGAAAGCATTTTCTTTTTCGTCTCGACTTACGATCAAAATTTCTGTATTTCAGATGAGTTGTCTGGCTCAGAAGAGGAGGGTGAACTAGAGTACAGTGATGGTGAGGCAGGGAGGTCGGTGGTGAGGCGAGGTAAAGGTAAGGAAGTTGACTCGTTAGTGGACCGTTCAATGGACGCTAGGGACATGTTGCTTGACAGTAGGAGACAGAGAGCTAACGGTGAAGCACTGGACCGCAAGCGTAAGAGGAGTGAGAGTGATGTGCTGTGTGGTAGAATGGTGGTGCAGGTGGGTGGTGGTGATCGTGTGGTGGCAGTGGTTGACAACAATGGACCCCGTGGTGGTGATACTGGTCTGCAAAGAAAACAGGAGGCGGCATCTACTGGCAATGTGATGGGACTAAAGATCAAAGTAGAGCGAGAAGGAGGTAATTCTGTAAGAGAAAGTAGGAAAATAACTATCGAGAAGAATGATGGAAAATCAACTCCTGAAAAATCAAATAAACGTAAACTTAAGGAAAGTTTTGCCAACGATATTGATGATGAGGTGAGTATGATGCGCAGGCGCATTGTCGAAAAAGCGCGCAAACTTGTCAAGAGCGAAGGAAACGAAGAGGCTAGGATTGTTCAAAATGGCAAAGCTGTTGATGAGAAGAAAGCTAGGAAACGTAGCTCCCAGGAGAAAGCAGAGGAAATTCGATCAGAGGGTGTTGTAACTTCTTCAGAAGTTGCAAAAGTTGTTAAAGAAGAGGCAGGAGAGGATGGAGCTTCAAAAGGTAGTGAGAAAACAGATGATAAATCTACTGAGACAAGTGCCGTTTCAGAAGCTAACGAAGAAGAAAACAACAAAGATGCTGAAGGAGACTCGACCTTGGATGAAATCGGAGCTCATGTGGAGGAAGAAAATGTACTGAAAGTACACGTTGAATCTGAAGCTTTGGGAAACGGAGAGAACGAAGAAGGTGCAGTGTCTATTGACGAGCTACAATTGACAGTAGATCCTAAAGATTCTCTGATGATGGAAGCTGCTGTTGAGAAAGAGAGTTCCACGCCTGTTGTACCCCCCAAAACAGATAAACATCGGAGAGATCAACAGAAAAACCAACATGGATCTAGTAAGACCCATCAATCAACTACAACACGCAGTGACCGCGATAAGAATGCAAGTTCAAGCGAGACTCAGACCAGCAAGAAGCCACGTTTAGATACAACAGCTCTCAAGCAAGATTTGCTGGCCATTGCACGTTCTAATAAGGAAGTGGGTGATGTGCGCCATCGGAAGTCAACACATGCAGCCAGTAGCGTAGATTCATCAGTGCAAAAGAAGTCCAGACGCGAGGATGTTGATGACAATTTAGATGAAAATAAGAAGAGTTCAACGGTGGATAGCGAGAAGCATCAAGAATTGTCGAATCCTAAGCCCAAGAAAATGGCCTTGTCGGATAATTTTCAAATAACTGTTGTCAACCCATCAGCTGAGAAGAAAAAATCTAGTGTTACCGAGCCAGCAGCGTTGGAGGAAAGAAGCGAGAAGCGAAAGGATCTTAAGCAGACAAGCAAGAAGAGTGGAAAAGCTAGAGATGAAAATGTGACTGACGAAGACCGGAACACTGTGCAAATAAAAGATAATAAATCCTCTGGCAGCTCAAACGAAATTCGAAAGTCCAGTGAAATTCAGGTTAAATCTCGCAGAGATGAAGGAAAGAAAAACAAACCAACACCGTCAGATTCTGCCATTAAAAGCAAATCAAGTTCGGTGAAAAGTCGGCCAGTGCCCAAGGAGGTTGTGAAACAGAGCAGCAAGAGCAGCAGTCGCCGCAAGCCCACTCCTGTGGAAGATGACAAACGAAGGAAACGATCAAGTAAACGGGATTCTTCCGAAGAGGATACAGATGATTCATCAGATGAAGATTCGTCGGAATCCGATTCTTCGTCTGACAGTAGTTCAGACTCAGATTCTAGTGACGAATCGGACCAGGAACCGCGGAAGACCTCGACGAAGAAAAGCTCAGGCTCCAGTACTTCGGGGCGTAGTAACCGTCACCGCGACGAGAAAAGTGAGAAGCTGAGCAGCGCAGGCAGGAAGGCATCGAAGAAGTAGGTAGATATTTGAGTGAATGTTATGAATGATAGGATGTGCTGACTATTGCAAAAGCGTGTATTTTTGCTCTGAATAATTTCATTTGTTAAGTATAAAATGAAATTTAAGTGACGTGACAGTAATAATTTCTAAATTCTTAGGTTGTGTTGGTAATTGCCGTTTTAAACAACGTATTTGTTTAGCTGTAAATAGAATTAGCATATACGTTTCATTTTGCGTGTGGACATGCACTTGACTCGCAAGCTTGACTGACTACTCGCATCATCCGCCCCGGCCTCATTGAAGTGTATTCCTGGTGAGTCTTGAAGTCTGGGCATTATCTTGCTGTGCCGCCGTTCGTAGTCGTCGGGATGTAATGTGAAACTTCTTCGAACAGTTGTCGAGCGATTGCTTCAAAGCTCATGGACTTGTCTGCATTCTAAAAATAAAATGATTATCGAGTATGTTCGCGCCATCTAACATTAATCACTTCACGGGAAGGCACGCCAGATTCAGTGTGTCGTGAACGAGTCATTTACAAAATTAAACTTTGATAATTCTATTGTTTTCATGCCTCATACTCTAGTATTAAAGATTTTTTCTTGAAGAGATGTACAGTAAATAACGGACAGATGACAATTAGCATAACTGAGAGTAGTTAATGGATGTCGTCGATTGTCGTGTTTTCGTGTGAGGTACAAAATAAAAGTTTCATTTATGAGAGCTTGAATTTCTTTTATTATAAATCAAACAATGATGTTTTGAAAAGTATCAATTATTTCTGTACAACTATAAAGCATTTTATATCAGATGAAGAAAAATTTGGACATTGATTTTCGAATTTTTCATGCTCTGCAAGGGGCCTAAATCCCACTTACGACTATATTGTGGAATCATTTTTTACCAGGCACAATAAAATTGCGATTTGACAAATATTGTACATGTTTAATTCTATATCCGAGCCAGACCGGTCAGTTTTAAATCCAGTCTTCATCAGACATCCGTTCCCGGTAGGGCGGCAGTAGGAATTATCTGCTGTTTACTGTTGATTATTGGGGAGCGAGAGGAGAGTGTTGGCACCGGATGGCAGATAGGTCACGTTCCTGTTCTTGGAGAGCCTGCGACACAAATTTGTACACTTCAGTGTTATTCTACCATAAGTGAAGAGCAGTCCAGAAAATCAGCTATTCGATCCGTTTTAGGGACCAGCTTTAACATCAGTTGAATGACACGGGAATAGACGCAAAAGTGAATCTTTTCCATCATTTTTGAATAACAGATATAAAGAAGATTTAATTCAATTCACTGCTCTATTTGCTTTCAAGCTTTAGCGTACTTGTAACATCTATTATATGAATCTCAAGAAGCCACCTTCATTCTTTTTAATAATTCTGTCATGGTTAAAAAAAATTGAAATACTTTAGGCCGTGATAGGATCAGGGCAAAATGAAATACCTGTAGGCTATATCTTCGGCAGTTTCAATTCTCCTGAGTTCAACAAGACCTTCACCAGCTTCGCCGAAACTCTTGGCCAGCAACTTAGCAGCTGAGGCCTCTCCATCAGCGATGATGATGGCAGCTTTCTTTTCTTGCTCCGCCTACAGGGGGGGGGGGGGAAGAGATCAGTAACGAGTTAATAAAAGTATAAATGATTCGATTATTATCAAAAGTCTTGTCTTATAAATCATTGATCAATTGAAAATTTACATCATGATGTAGATTTACATGTATATCTAATAATCAGTAGGCTCGAAATAGCATGAACAGCTGAATGAAGAGTAACGATTAATTATGATTCTATTCAAGGAGCTCTGAAGAATACTTATGTTCCTAAAGAATTGGAGGGAAGATTACTTCATTACTAACCATTTTCGTTCAAATTTGAATAAAACGAAAATTTGTATAGATAAAACATTCGATATGTAAGTCGGGTATGTCATCTCGCTAATATGAACTATGCTTAGAATGATTAAATGTACTTTTTCAATACGAAAGACAACAAATGCGCTTACAATTTTTAATTATGAAAATGTCGATAAGTTTGCCATGTAAAGACAAGAGATCGTCGTACCTTCTCGACGAGGAACTTAGCTCGCTCTGCCTCTTGCTGAGCAACTTGCTTCAGCTCGACGGCTTGGGTGAATTCCCGGCCAAAGGTGAGATGTGTCTGAGAGGATCAATTTTATCAGAATCAACAAATAAACTGACAAGAAACAGTGTGATGTTTAAAAAATAAACTATGAAATAGCAATAGCATTCATCTCAGTCAAAATGACCTTTCACTGAAACTAATTAATAAAAATACATGTATGTAGCTGAAATGATTAATGTTCAATATTATTAGATATATGTTAACGCCCCTTCAGGAATCCTCAGCTAAAGACGAGTGACTTACGATACTAATGTCGTCAAGCACGAGGCCGAACTGCTTGCAACGCGCGGTCAGATCGAGGCTAACATTTTGGGAGACTTTCTCACGTTGTGTGATGAGCTCACCAGCGTCATACCGAGCCTGCAAGTAAAGATAACTCGATATCAAACAAGAGTACAAATGGCTACCATCCCGTAAGAGAACATTGAACTCAACATGCGTTCGCTGCACACAATTCATCACAATCATCTGCATTCTGCAAGTATAATGACTACTGAGTTAGAAGAAAATACTTAGTAGGTAGTAGTTAGAGGTCGTTCTTATTTAGATCGCATGTGCATAAGAACTACCTGGTGCAAACCGCCCTGTTCCCTAACAAGTCTTGAAATTTTACAAAGAAAACTTGACGAAAAAGTAATGCAATTCCAGTCATTTCTAAAACAATTACCAACATATTTTAGGAGAGGTTGAAAACAGGAGATGCAAAGTTATAACCTGCAAAAAAAAAAAAAAAAACGGTGACGCCGCTTGACACAAGAGATTGCAATCGCTTTTTGATAAAATATTAACGAGTCCTCGATTTCTTTGTCTATCGATTCTTTGTCTGATATTAATTAATTTCAGATATTAACGAGTGCTGATGAGTAAATCGTTAGTAAAACATCAGGTCCCAGCAGTCCCATCATTTAGTATGAATTATATAGTATATTTCATGATTAATTATACTAAGAATTATGTATACAGTGAATGCAAAATTAAAAAATCGGTTTCTAATCTTATTGCTTGGCGAAGCTAGCCAGCTATTTACTAACCACAACAGCCTTTAGAACTTCGTTGGTGATGGAGGGCAGAACTCTGTCCTCGTAGTCCTCGCCGAGTGTAGTGTAAATGTTGGGCAGGGCAGAGGCAAGAGGTCGGAACAGCACACGCAGAGTGATGTTCACTGTCTGCAGATCTGTGGTGTAAAGTTCATGGTGATTTTATAACCTTAATCTGGATTCATTTTTATAAGTGTATACAAGGCTTATGAAATCACAGAATATACGCCACCATATTTTTTTTTTGGGTTCCAAAGTCAAAGAGGTGAATGAGCACTACATAAATTTGAGCCACGCTGAAAAAGAAAGTTGGTAATATTACTTACTAATTACCAGTTCCTAAACTTCATCAATTACAAATATGCCATGGCCAAAGGTCTAGAAAAAGAAACTGAAGGACAAAATTCTGAGATACTGGTTCTCACATTGCTGGAGATTGTTCATCTTGAGAAATGCCACGATCACCAGCTGGTATAATATAAATGAGCAGGTAACCCCATACCTTTGGAACCGGTGATCACAGGGACGTTTCTTGGTCGTGTCCTGGTATCATAAATGATGGGCCGCTGGACCCATGGAATGAAGAAATGTGTGCCTTCACCAATGACAACTTGTTTCACTCCAGCAAATCTATCAAAAATCACAGCTCGGTGACCAGCATCCACTGAGGAAAAAAAAGAAACATTCATATTACTGTTTATAGATTAACCCTAAATTCTTGTGTTCAATTGCTCATGAAAACAAAATTAGATTTTGAATGCTTCAACTAGTGATGAAGTGAGACTCGCAGGCAGTAATGGACTCAAACTCCCAATCAATTTTGTTAACTGATGTTCAGTAGAACAACACTAAAATTTTGCAATTTCAGCTGGTTCTATAAGAGACATCGATTGGTCATATCACCAAGCTTACACTGATTGAATATGTAGTTTGAACATAGCAATTAATTTCATTGGGTAGATGGTCTCTGTAAATGAGTGTGAATTTATTCAATGTACCATCCAAAAGATGAATCACAATTACTCATCAAAAAGTATAATTAAACAAATTAACAGAATAATTACATTTCTACCAATTTTCATTAGGATTAAACTGAGAAGACATGAATAAACAAGGAAAAATTGTCATTATTAAGTAAATAAGTAACCAAAAGATAAAAAATATTTACAGGCTTATTCTAAATGAAGGACCCAATTTAATAAATTTGTATTTTTTTAAGTTTGAATTAAAAATGAATAATTTACCCACCAGTTGAAAGAAGGCTTAATTACTTTTACACATTTATATATGTTCAATATGTCCTCCTTGTGCTGCACGGCAACACCTAAACGGTAGCCGAACTCACCCCACACACAAGGAAGCATATCTTCAGTTACTGAGTGCACTGTAGCAGTGATACGGTTATTCTGATCAACCAGAGTTGATCAGAACAGCGTAAACAGCTCAGAGTGGGACGTAAACAGCTTTCTTGACACAACCCCTTTAGAAATAGTCACATGGGGGCAAGATCAGGAAACCTCGCGGCGTCACTGCTGCGGTGCACTCAGTAACAAAGATACGCTTTCTTGTGTGTGAGACGAGTTAGGCTTTCATTTCGATGTTTGCCGTGAAGCACAAGAGGGACATATTGATCATTTATGAATATCTAGAGAAAAAACTTTGAATCTTTCTTTTTCCATTAGTGAATGAATTATTTGTTTTGAATTTATACTTGAATAAATACAAATTTATTAAATTTTGTCCTTCATTTAGATTTTAGAATAATGCTGTATATTGGAATCAAGCAATTGAACATTAAAAAAAATATTTTCATTCATGGTCTTGTGAGATTCTTTGCTGAGAATGTCTAAAAAGTTGACCAACAACAGAACAACTGTCAATGGGATTCTTTTATGATGAGCAACCTCTCATCAATATTTAGAAATTATTTTAATTCAAAGCTTCAATTAGAAGTTGGTCAACACATTGTACAACAACACATTGAAAACAGCAGACTCGCTACAAGGTTCATGTAGATGATAACACTTGGATTATGGAATTATGGACCAAAACTCACCATTGTAGAGAGCTGAGTTGACAACACCACCAACAACAGCTACACCAAAGCCAAGCTGGCCCATTCTTGTGAAGAGCTGTGCTAATTGAGCCATTTCCAACTTTTACTGAATACAATAAAGTTAATCTGTAACACAAACTTTTACCTTTATAAAAAAAATCAAACTTTTACCTTTATCAAAAGTATTTCACTAGCAAACACTATACAAAACTACTCAAATAGTGACTTTAAGTCTGACAAGATAATATTCATAATTGCCATTGTGGTTTTTGAACAATTAAAATAAATTTATAGAAATGCTACATAGGGTGGCAGGGAAGGTGACAAGAATTTTGAAACTTAAAATTTTCAACTTTAAATAGCACATGGCACAATGAGAAGCAATTAATTGAAGAGCAACCATCAGGGTTTCCACATTTCATGAAAATCTACTGCACAATGAAAAAAATTACAATCTACAGCTACAAAAAAATTAATTACTCACTTGTAAACAACACTGACAAACAATGAGTTCTCATCTGCCACTTCAATTGTCAACAATGAATTAATTATTTGAGTCGAGTAGTCTCAACCAAATTATTCTAATATAACATGAATTAGATGCCGAAAATTTTTTTTAACATTGTTTCTAGTGTTCTGAAAAATAGGGCAGTGTAACTCCAATACTGCCAGTTAGTCTGCTTCATAGTTTTGTTGAATGGCTTTCAGAAAAGCAGCAGAAGATGGAATTTAATGGAATCCAGGATATCAAAAGATTCCATATTTATCTTAAATGTGTCAATTTTGAGCTGGGAGATTTCAGTATCAAGCATTGGGCAGCAGGGTTGGTGATTTTTTTTTATTTAAAAAAAATCAAAAAAAAAAATCAAAAATCAATGATTTTTTGTTGATTTTTTCATGATTTTTTATTTATTTGATTTTTTTTTCAGCTTTTTGTCTTTTTGAAGTGTTATTTTTTATGTTGCAATTAGCCTACTAACAATAACAGTATATGGATCATAATGGATGGCTAAAAAGGGCACTTATTGCCTTCAATAATGGCCAACAGGCCAAGGTGGTGTTTAGTGTTTACCACTTAGGGATTTTTGGGTAAACAATTATTGATAAGTCTATTCATTAGCTTTGTAAAGTTTGTATGGAGCAAGGTAATGAGCTAAATTTTGACCATTTAACTGGCTTCAATATACAAAAATACTTCAGGAATGCAGATCTCTAAACATTGAAAAGTCACATAGTAACAGATAGGTAGCTGATAGCACAGTGCACAGCACTATCAATAGATCTACTAGTTTTATGTCCTATAAATCTACCAGACTTTACCCTCTATACACTTTATACTTTACCCTCTCTCTATATATTTTATATTTAGTCTTATAATTGTAATTATTTTGTTTCTAGTTTTAAATTCACATATTTAAGAGAACAGGGTGGGGGCAGAACCAATTGAGCAGTTTTGAGGTAAAATAAAAGAGTAATGGAGGTACACAAAGAAGAAAGTTTATTTTCCTAGAGGTTAGCATAACATACCATTTAGAATACCGTAAAATGGGGAAACTTAGACCACTTTTTTTCTTATAAATGCCATTTTCTTACTAGCTAAATTAAACTTGAATTGAAACATGCAAAATACAGGTCTATACTCTAGCTTCACTCACCATAAATTGCTGGCTCCTGCCTCTCATAGTCTTTATGTAATTTCAAGAAAAGTGATGGTCTTTGTTACCCCAGCTCTTGGGGTAACTTAGACCGGGTGGTAAAATCAATTATTTTTTTTTTGGTAAAATAACTTCAAATAACTCCAGGTTTTGGTGCATTGTAGTAGAACTCTTCTAGTTACATATGCAAATTACAAACTTGAGGAAAGTGTCATAGTTTGCAAATGGGGGGCACCACCCCATAATGAGGGAAATGTGACTACCTAATGGCAGTTGACTGGCTTGGATATTAAGTTAAAATTACCATATATAAGACTCTGTAGAGTCTGAAACATAAAGAAAAAACAAATAGGCTGTCAAACATAAAATATGTTATATATGGTAATTTTATATTAACTTCCAAGCCGGTCTATGTTACCCCATCAGGGCTGACATTAGGTGGTCTAAGTTACCCCATTTGGGGGCGGCACCCCCCATTTGCAAACTATGACACTTTCCTAAAATTTGTCATTTGCATGTGTAACTAGAAGAGTTCTACTACAATGCATCAAAACCTGGAGTCATTTAACCAAAAAAATAAAAAAATTGGAGGGGGTACTCTGACAGGCTTTAAATAATAGCTTTTTTTTGTGGGTCACATTTTTAATTTTTTAACCTATTAGATATGCAACATTTTTAATTTTTTAACCTATTAGATATGCAAACTTTTTAAATCTTTCTATTGTGTTATGTAGCCTCAGTATTAGGCCTTTAATGCCCATTGACAAAATTTTTCTATGCCAAATAGTTTTTGAGTTGTGGGTTTTTTAAAAAAAAAACGAAAAGTGGTCTAAGTTACCCCGCCGGTCTAAGTTACCCCATTTTACGGTACTTATCTTTTGAAAACAATATCTGGAAGATGGGGGCCGTTTGCCCAACACACTGTTGGAGTCATTCTCAGAGGAGGGAGTAACCGTAACAGTGAATTCCGATCGCTATGCTGCAATGTTGCAAAATTTCTTGCAGCCCATGATGGAAAACATTGCTGAAACTGAAGCATTGCGAGACATGTGGTTCCAGCAGGATGGGGCTACAGCTCACATAGCCCGAATGTCACTCAATGTTTTGAAAAGCATGTTTCCCGGACGTCTGTTGTCTCTGAGGGGTGATTTACAGTGGCCTGCAAGGTCACCTGATTTGAGCATTTGCGATTTCTTCCTTTGGAGACATCTGAAAGAAAGGGGTTAAGAAGTCGCCCTCACACCCTACCACTGCTAAGGGAATGGATTATTGCAGCAGAGGTTATGGCCATACATCGCCATATGCGTGAACGTGCTGTATAAAACTTCCGAGAACGACTCCAACAGTGTGTTGCAGCTAACAGACACATCTTCCTGATATTGTTTTCAAACATAAGTATTTTAAATGGTATGTTATGCTAATCTTGAGGAAAATAAACTTTCTTCTTTATGTACCTCCATTACTCTTATTTCGCCTCAAAACTGTTCAATCAGTTCTGCCCCACCATGTATAAGCTAGCTAACACATTTAAATTGTATATTATAATCAATATATCACAAATAGTCAAATAGTTAAAGACTACTTATAGCCTTATAAGAATTAGCTAAGCTGCTAGCTACGTACAATCTATTGCACACTTGATGCCTCTGTACCAAAACATTCAATTTATTGGAACCTAATACACACTAAAGGCAACAAGTTTATATACCAATTTGTCACTCATAGTACATTTATACTAAACCATGAATAACAATACCGGTACCTCAATATAAATTAAAGACTGCCACTCAATATATTTAAATATATGAATAAATAAAAAAAATCATGATTTTTTATATAAAAAAATCAAGTGATTTAATCACATGATTTAATCATTGCCAACCCTGTTGGGCAGAGTTGAAAATTTTTTACACTCTTCCCCTTTTTGAGCTCTACAAGTAATGAGCAGACCATCTGCCATCACAACCAGCAACTTAGCAAGTATCATAGATACCAGCACAATTCAAATTATCCGAAATATTACTAAAATCTTGCATCTCCAAAGCAATAAATTTGCAATACGTTCAGAATCTTGCAGCCTGTTTGTGCACTGTGCAGTTTTGTTTACAATTACATTTACATAATGGGTAATTCATCTAGCTTCCAAAAAATTGCAGTTTTGAAAATTTCTGGAAAGCTTTATTGGTGCTATCACTGCTATGAAAGGTAGATATATTCAACAACTGAATAACAGCATTATCATAGATATTGGATACAATTTTGAACCAGTCCAGACTCCAGAGCGCAGTGAATTTCTGGGGCATAGTGAGTTAGTGACAAACCTGAGATTTTTTAGAATAAGTTCATTTTTAATTTCCTAATTTTCTCGAAATTTGAACAAATTTCTTATGCAAGATAATGATGGTATCCATGATACTTTACTGGTCTACTTATATGACTCAAAAATGAACTTGAGGCTGAAGGAGTGTCTAAAAAAACTCTCTGCTTTGCCACTATGCCCCGGGGACAACAATGAGACTTTTCTAGTCATCTTCAAGTGTTTTTTGAGTCCTATAATTAGAGCAGTAAAGTATCACAAATAGGGTAAACGCGGTTTATTCCGACATCGTGAGTAATTCGTCACCTCTCTAGTTTTTCCTTTATATTAAGCTTTCTTTTAGTTCCATGCGTTCGTTGATGGTTGAAATGGTGACGTCATACATTTGCGCGTCAAACTACTGCCAAAACACTAGGTCTTGGCCATCTAGCAGGAAAATATTCAGATCCAAAGAGAGACAATGCACGCTACCCAGTGAGATCATTGAAAAATGTGTCAAATTTGACAGTTGACCTTGCTCTACCAAATAGTGAATAACTGTTTGTATAGGAAGAATATTATGGTTCGAGACTTTTAAATACATCTGTGAACAGTGTGGAATTCTGTATAGGTAATATATTCTCATGTCAATATAAGAAAACGTATCGAAATACCAACCCTACCACCGCGTTACACCACCTTCCACTGCAATGAAAATTGATGAACTGAGCACATTTGAAACGGCTGTACTTCCGAAATCGCGCGTGGTTTGAAATCCAATCCCGTGTTGCCAACGACTAATCAAGTTAACTAGTCGTTTATCTGTAGGCTAGCGGACACATTTTTGCAATTAATACGTTCTAAAATAAAAAAAAAACACATCCAGCTTCATAAAAAATTCTCACGATTGGACAACACCCACAAAGTTTTCGATTTCACACAAAATTATGAGATAAACTTCGACTCTTTCACTGCATACATTCACATCTGTCTCTTATACACATCTAGATGTGTATAAGAGACAGTCATTACTCAGCGTAAATGGCTTTTCATTAAAAATTACCCGGCGACGCATCTTTAAAATGGCCGGCGACGCTTTGGGCTTGAAAATCCATATATTGCCGACGCTGCATCCACCCTCTGCATAGTGGATAATAGCCATAATACCTACTACGGTACTACCAAGTATTGCCTAGTGCCTACTGCTACTGACTGTCTTGTCCGGCTGCCTGCGCCCGGCAACTGGCTCCAGCCTCCAACTCCAACAGTCATGGAATTGGAAGTTTGGAACTTAGGTACAGACTACAGTTAGATGGGATGGGATCAGGAATTAAATTTGCTACCAGAGCTTTTATTTACTAAACGATTTCTTACCTTATATTAGCCGAGCATCCAAGTCCAACTACCTAACAACTATTGATATCTTAAACCTTAAGGACAGTCTGTCCATAAGGTTTAAGATATCAATAGTTGTTAGGTAGTGTACATACCGTACCTATTTCTATGCCTCTGTCCTGGAGACCTGGACAGAGGCATAGAAATAGGTACGGTATGTCAGAGAACAGAGACTACACATCGCTCACAGTCAGACAAGAAATAATAAGATCTTACAGTTTAACTCTTATCATTTGATTTATAATTATACCTCGTTAAGTTTCATGAGCAGGGGGCCCCAGGGGCCAGGGAGTCATAAAGTAATGAGAAATTTAACATACTTAGCGACAAAAAATGCATAAAAATTTAACATCCAAATAAGAGAACTAACAAATTGCATTCAAATACTTATTATACAGTTTTGATGTACGTAATAGGCATGCATACATCAAACATCATACATTATAAACTAAGGTACATACAACAAACCGGCAACCTGAAGCGTGCGCAGTGCCAATCGTTGTTCAATCCGTGATGGCATTATGCTGCTTCTCTAGGAAATGATGGAGGATTTAAACATTTAAATTTGCATCACCAATGTACGACAGACATAAACTATATTTTTAACAGTCTTACGCGCGTTTCGTTAAGGGCCAGGTGTGTCCTATTTATTAATTAATATTATTCAGGCCTATCGATACATATATATTATGAAATAATAAATCAAAACTGATGAGCAACAGAAAATCTTGGTGCAAAAGTTATTGAAAGATATATAAAGAATAATATTTATTGAAATAAAAAGAGCATCAAAATTATTTTGCTCGTTTAATTCTACCGGTAGTCCTAAACGATGTTCTCAGACTCATTCAGTAAATATTTAATGCGGGAATTTTTTTCTTACAATAAACTCAGATAGTTTCATAATTTATGTAGATCAAGCTTCACTTATAAGAAAAAATTGTAATGTTCATTTTTAAACATCAACTGACGTAATAGCTGATGAGTTAACCACATCGGCAAATGGGACGAATTTCTAAATTAAGTTTTCCACTCATAAATGCATCAAATAGAAACCGATTAGGTTCAGATAGATAAAAAAAATGTTATTGTCTTTAGCTTCGACTCTAATTAGCGCGCTAAACGCTAAGGTTGAGCAGGTTTTTCACTCATAATTTCGTCAATTTCGATGGCGGCAGGGTGGCCCAATGGTTAAAGTTCAGAGTACCAAGATTGGCGGAGAGAGGCGCGGGTTCGATCCCCGCTCTGTGCATTAATTTCTGGTCAGAATCGGCAAGGAGGCCGGGCGGTTAAGCAAAGCAGACTTGAAGCAGCGAGTTGCGAGTTCAAGCCCGCAACAAGCTGTGGATGTTCTGCAATGTTAAGAATCGGCGATAAGCCTACGGCCTAATAAACGCTGAAACCGCTTTATTTCGCTATATATAAATCGGAACCGATCGCGACCTAATTAACAACGAATGTATTTATTGTGACGACGCTCTTGCAAATTTTGTTTGATTTTTTTTGTCTGCTTCGTTTTCACGTAGTGACCGAAATGCCAAGTTAGTAAAGCGTGCAAATGGGGCTATAATTAAGCGTGTAGTGCATTACGTGAAAACGAAGCTGTGCAAAAATAATTTTGACAAGGCTCGGAAAAGTGTAAAGTGAATAAATAGCTTCGTTGTTGATTCAGCCAAGATCGATTTCGATAAGAAACGTGTATTCGTGGAAAATCTGCTAAAACGTAGCGTTTAGCGTACTAATTAAAAGCAAAGTGGCCAAAAACAAAAAATTTTGTCGATGCCAGATAAGTGGAAAACCTGAAAATTATTCCCAAAAGTGTCGTGGTGATGAGTTGACCCATATTAACAGAATGCTGTCATATGACCACGCCAACTCAAAGTTTTATGTAAAATTTTGTTATCTGGTCAAGATGATTACGAAATACTAACTGTAAGCACATGCTAGTAAGTTTTTTTTTGTTTTGTAGCGGTGTTCAGGCCGAAAATAGATACGATAACCTTTTACAAATTAGATTGACGAGAAAAAGACGAATTGCTACACTCACAGGCAATTTTGCTTCCAAAATTTCAAGTAGATACATGACGTACGAACAAAAATATTTTTGACCTATCCAGTCAAGTTTAATTTTGAAAAACCGGCGGAGCAAACTATTACAAAGAAGAGAAACTGTGCACAAGAGGTTATCGAAGCAAGCTGTTACAAAGCATTCGCATCCTAAAAATTCGATCAAAGGTTTATTTCACCCAGAGATATTTACAGAATGAAGAGCTAAAGCAATATCATTTGGTCATAGAAGCCGCACGACGCATCAAGACTCAGGAATTGCAACAATATCTTATCAATAACGATGTCTGAGATATTAGTACATTTCTCGACAACATATCAAAAAATTAATCAGACTTTCACTACATCTAAGAATAAAGGAAAATAATTCAATTAGCATAATATGCATCTAATAATCATTAATATATTCGTCAAGTTGGTAACAATTTTTATGAAAATAAAATTTAATATAATTATACGTTCGTCAATGTTTTCTCAAAGTAGCAACACAACTTATCATAATAAGCAATTGTTATTAATGACCGAATGTACTTCGTGAGAACAAGAATGTGGAAGAATATCTACGAATCTTCGGTCATTTTGAGAATGATTTCTACTGCTTCAGGGCCCATACTTTCAAAAAAAGTTAAGAGATCGTAAGTCCATCAGCCAATCATTGACGGCCACGCAAGCAAAATCCACCAATCATAGACAAGAAAATGGAGCGTAAGTATGGTTAGCAAGTAGCACAACACCCAGCCTGACCACAACTGGGTTAAGGTAAGAGTTTTATATTTTCATAATAAGTGGCGCGTTCAGAAGCCGGTGAAATTGTGTATTGTGAGCCACGACCATTGTTGATTAATTGAGTCTAAATTACATTTTGGTCCGAGGTTTCAGAAGCCTTCATACACAAGGATCATTAATAAAGAGTACAATTTCGATATCTTAGGGAACACTGAACTTATCATCTAATTAATGAAATCTCATTCAAACATACATGGATATTTAGGTTAATAAACAGTATTATGCCATAACAATCTTACCATGTAGGCTAGAGCTGAAGTTTATGCCGTATAATCGAGTCGTCAACAAGCATAACCATGCAGGTTATTTATAAGCGGTATAGACAACACACAACGAATGAGCTTATCAACGCAATAAGCGAGCCTATCAGGTACACGTAATCTCTAAGCGAAAGCTTCTAAGCAGCACCATGCAGATTATACAAAATACTTAGATCAATACTTGAACGATAAAACATTGAAAAATGTAACTTAAAACGCACGACAACATACGAGTTTCGGCCGGCATTTAAGAACAAAATTTTTTACCTGCAAAAATATATTGCATTAGTTTAACACTTAGGAATAAAGCAGTACAATCATTTTGAAAATGATTGTAATATATTATTATAATTCCTTATTATTATAATTATAATTCCTTAGGAAGAAAGCAAGGCTTTATGATATAGCAGAAAAACCAGGCTTTTCTGTCGATATTGGCTTCAATATTTCCGCCGTAGAGAGCTAAGAACCCCAGCTTCATCACAGATAAATTTTATGAAAATAGGCGCGTTAAACGCATAACAATTTGGCCAACACTGTAAAATCTGGGTCGTACATATCGATTAACTGCAGGTACTCCGTAGATACCAGTTGAACGTAGATGCCAATAGACTGTAGAATATCAGTGCACTATTACCGCCCACTGGCCGCTGATATCAGAGGGTCGTAGATACCATAGAGATACCAGTAGACTGAATATACTCCGCTGATGATCTACAGATGTCTGCATATGCTTCTCTCCATCACTGAATGTATCCCCATACAAGGTAAGTCCGGGCATCAGTAGAACGCCTGGATGCCAGTGATGGCTCGACCCAGGATAAGGGCGTGAACGTCGTGCGTTCCTGTCATGCACGAGAAAAATGAGTATTCAATGAGGTGGCATAGGTAATTTATTAATCATTGAACCCGCGAACAAAATCTTGCAAAATCATCTTACAAAAACAACAATGAGACATTTTTGGATTTAATGCACATGACAGTGTCGATAATATCGCGAAAAAAAAAACAATCAGTGTACACTGTAGAACTAAGCAGAAAATTACAAATAACACTGCATTCACCCTCGCACCATTCAACTGCCTCCAGGTTCATGCAGTGCCTGATGACGCGGCGCTACACTCACCCTCGTACGTGTTGACGGCCTCCAGGTTCATGCAGTGCCTGATGACGCGGCGCTACACTCACCCTCGTACGTGTTGACGGCCTCCAGGTTCATGCAGAGCCTGATGACGCGGAGCTACACTCACCCTCGTACGTGTTGACAGCCTCCAGGTTCATGCAGTGCCTGATGACGTGGTATTCATCACAAATTCCGTTTCCTCCCAGCATGTCGCGGGCAGAGCGGCAAATGTCCAGCGCTTTACCGCACGAGTTCCGTTTCAGCAAACTGATCATCTCAGGCGTTACCCTGGAAAACAGTGACATGAAATAATTCTTAGTTTGAGCAAGTCATTCTGCAGAAATACCTACCGGTATATCACATGGATTCAAATTCATTTATAGCACATGGATATAAATTTATTCTGAATTTTGAAGGTACAATATTTACATGCTCAAACATTGAATAAGAAACAGGCATAGGGAGATTCGCAAAACATTCTAAAATAAAGTTTGTTTATGTTTACCCTTTGTCGGCGGCAACATATTTTTTGTCAATGATACTCGTGGCTTAAGGTCCGGTGATTGGCGAATAGAGTAACTTATTATGAAATTCATTATAACATCTATCATCGTATTGTTATCATAACAACTTATTCAACAAGAGCTTCAACCATCGTTCTAGCTTATGCAATAAATGTAATAAGAACACACCATTACTGAATGCTGTGCAAAATTTAATAATTTTGCGCCAGAGTCGCAATACGTATTGTCAAATAGAACTGAATTTTAATTATAATAATGAGAAAATCTGCCTACCGTTACATTACAAATAATGTATTAGTAGTGTCTTCAGAACATACGTAGCGTTCCCTAAATTACCATTATTTTTTAAAAGAAGTTTTGATTCATGTATATATTAAACTAGATTAATCCAAGAAACTGACTTGTCCATATCCTTGAGTCTAGACACGTGCAGGCAGGCGTTGAGGGCGAGGCTGATCTCCGTGATGGCGTCTGCGAGCTTCTTTTGTATGAGCTGCGTGGCAGCCAGCGGTCGACCGAACATTTTCCTGCAACATAAATACAATTAAGTAGGAATTATAAGATAACCAAACATTTTCCTGCAACATAAATAAAATTAAGTAGGAATTATAAGATAACCGAACATTTTCATACACTGTAAATAAAATCAAGTAGGAATTATAAGATAACATCTCCCTGCACCAACAATGTAGCAACAATAATAAGACACCAAGACAAACTTAAGTAATAAATGAATCACGAGACTAATAATTTATTTAAAGTGAAAATAAGCAAGAATTTTTTGATATACGTATCAATCAAATTTATTAACTAGCATTATTTCATTCTCAGAATCGGAACAGCTAATATCTTTATTTTAGGCAAGAAGTAAAAGGATAAAATGAAAATTCTGAAAGCAATTTCAAGCCCAATATCATTACAATCAAAAAGTAGTGCAGGATTGCTTAAGCAGTAACTAAGGCACAAATATCTTTTACGATTTAGCAATAATTTTCAGTCATATTGGAGGTTCAATAATAAATACCATTACCATTAGTAGAAGTAATTCATTTAGCAAGTATATTACAGCACCTGTTGAGGGTGTAGTCGCGAGCAATGGAGACACAGGCCTCAGCAGCTCCCATGGCTCCCCACGCTATACCAAACCGGGCGTTGTTCAGGCATGAGAAAGGACCCTGCAATACAGCCAACAATTATAGTAGAGCTACCTGAACACATATTAAAATACAGTAAACAAGTTCAGGCATGAGAAAGGCCCCTGCAATAAAGCAAACAATTATAGTAGAGCTACCTGAACACATATTAAAATACAGTAAACAAGTTCAGGCATGAGAAAGGCCCCTGCAATAAAGCAAACAATTATAGTAGAGCTACCTGAACACATATTAAAATAGAGTAAACAAGTTCAGGCATGAGAAAGGACCCTGCAATACAGCCAACAATTATAGTAGAGCTACCTGAACGCATATTAGTATAGAGTAAACAATTATAGTAGAGCTACCTAAACGCATATTAAAATAGAGTCAACAAGTTCAGGCATGAGAAAGGACCTTGCAATGAAGTAGACAATTATAGTAGAGCTACCTAAACACATATTAGTATAGAGTAAACAACTATAGTAGAGCTACCTAAACGCATATTAAAATAGAGTCAACAAGTTCAGGCATGAGAAAGGACCTTGCAATGAAGTAGACAATTATAGTAGGGCTACCTAAACATATATTCAAATAGAGTAAACAAGAAATAGAAGTAGAGAAAAGCTATTTTGCTGCAGAGATACAAGATATTCATCACAAAAATTGCGAGAAGTTTTTATTAGAAGAATCAGAATATTTGGTAAAAGTTAAAAATTCTTCATCCCCAACGCGCAGAGGTAGCTGGAAGAAGAAAAAATTCCGTGGAGGCATGTAAGAACATCAAATCACAAGTACCTATAGCAATAGTTAATAACGAATAAATGAACAAGAGTCCACGAGTCTGGGGCAGCGTAGGAAACTGCTCCGAGTCCTACCTATAGGACTCACAACCACAGTTAGGTGCTATGGGCCCAGTGGTCAGGAATGTGGAATAATAAATGAAGGATGCTAAAATAACGAATAAGCAACTCAATAATAAAAATGAGTGATTCTATAATATAAATTAGTGCTTTTATAATAAAAATGAGTGATTCTTTAATAAATATTAGTGTTTCTATAATAAGAATGAGTGATTCGATGATAAACATGAGTGACTTCAATGGAATCAATGCCAAACCAGTGGACAAGAAATTACAAGGTTTGGTAAGAAGAAGTTAGGTAAATGTACATTTAAACAGTTCCTAGCTAGAATAGAACAGTTCCTATGCTTGCAGGTCCTACCATACAAGGATGACCAACAATTTCCTATGTTGTAAGGGGCACAAAATATATTTCGTTATGCAATGATTATGGTAACTTTAAACAGGGTTGAGGCTGATTCACAAAATTAACCCACAGTCACCCTCTAAAAAAGATAGCCGAAACATGCTAACAATTTGCAAGAATGGTGCATACGTATTTTAGCTTTAAGAGTCTACCAATGAGGGCTGTTGATGTAGCAGCCTTATAACTAATTTATCACCAGCCATTTTCAGAGAAATTTATACGTAATTATTCCAGAGGAATATACAAATAAATACATATATTCATCTTTAGAATTGCTTGGAAAATGCAGAGCCTTACAATTACAAGCGCGGCCGAAAATTGGATCGCTACACAGCCTCACTTCTCATAAGAACTCGTCTTATTTTTATTCTATTACCCTATCAAAATCTAGAGGTGGTGGCGACTCTGAAATCAGGGGCCGCCTAGGACTGAGGGAGCACGTAAATCAGCTTCTCAATGTCTGCTTCGGCTCAGGGTTTGAAAGGCAGCCTCTGGGCAGCTTGCTAGCTCGGTATGACTCGACTCGGCCAACCCTCGTCATACTCTGAGGCGACTTTAGTCGGAAAGGTGGCTCTGACCAAAAACTGATTTCGATCAGGTGGCCAAGCAGACTTTGCACCGAGAGAGTGTAACAACTATTCGACTGAACCCAAGGCGATCCCAGAATGTTGTTAGGGTAATAAGTGGGAAAAACTTGCCTTGAGTCCTTTCACGGCACTGAGCATGTTTGTAGCGGGCACCACCACGTCCTCCATTACAATCATCCCTGTAGGCGACGCTCTGCAGGTAGAAAAAAACATAGAAAACTCACAAAAAATCCAGGTTCATTATCTCATCCATTTGAATTTTAAATGGCAAATCAAAAGAACATATATGTTTTTATTTTAATTTCCAAGCGATTTATCTGTTATTGTTGAACAGTTAGAAGAGATTTTCATTTTCATTGGTGCTGTTTCAATGAACAAATAAACAATTAGGATACAGATTCAAAGAGTTACCAAGATTACTTCCTCTATGTGAATGCTATTGTAAGAGAAATCTGAATTTAAAACCTTTTATGGCAATGAACAACTAAAACAAAGCGTGTGCAATAAACTCCTGGCAATGTCTAAGCTCTACTACAACTGTAATAAAGATCATACAGTATTGAAGGAGGAAATAATCTCTGATTGAACGTACATTTACAAACGCAGTTCAACTCTTGAGACAAAAGAGCATCAACAGTCGACATTACACTTTTCATGACCTAACATTTTCAAACATTCATCAAATTAGCAAGTACAAATCAGAGTTGTGACAGTTTTTGAGTAGAAGAAAAATCTGCAATAGCACTAACATTTAATCAAAACACGTGAAAAAAATTCAATGACAGATGCAAATAAAATCTCTGCAATTAATTTTAAAATAAACTAAAAGAGACTTTCATGCGGTGGGTTTAAATACAGCATATACATTTGCCATAAATTTCACCAGAAACAGTGTATTACCAGATTCAATCCCACATCGCTGGTTGGTCAGATTTGATTCAGCAAATATATCATTTACCTGAGAGAAAATTTCCCTTCGATTTTAGGTGCAGACAATCCGGGAGTTCCTTTCTCAATAACAAAGCCCCGTATGTGACCGTCCTCACACTTCGCCCACACCACAAACACGTCTGCCACGGGCGAGTTTGTGATCCTGTGCATAGAAGTGAAGAATTATATCTTGTTTTGTGAATTAGTGAAATGCACCAACAATAAATTATTTTTGCTGTTTGACATAAATTTTCAACATGAGATGCCATATACAAATGGTCAATAAACGTAACCTAATATAATACAACATGACATACATAACAATTCAATTGCATGGTCTACAATATATGACACAAGGATCATAGATAGACAATTTAAAATTAAAAAAAAATTACAACCATGAAATAATCTTTCATAGTCAACCAATTCGCCAAATATAGTTTTATGATTTCACTACAATAGGGTTCATAGGAAGAATAATTATGGTTTGCAAACTATCAATTTTTTTTACTATTTACATCAAGAATAATAATTAATCTTGCTGAAAAAGGAATGAGAATGATATTATCATATAATTTTTAACATATTTTACAATAATTATTATTAAAGATAACATCTTTTACAATAATTATTGTAAAAGATGAGACTTCAAGTCACTGCGACAGGGGGTGTTCTATTAGAATTGTTTTTATTGGATTTAATCACTGCTAGCAGACAGCACCCAGAACATACCAGGTCTTGGTGCCATTGAGTCGGTAGGTGTCATCAGCAGACTGGTAGGTAGCTGTAGTTCTCATGCCCGCTGGATCACTCCCTGCATCAGGTTCTGTGAGGCCAAAGCATCCCACCAGCGACCCAGTGGCTAGCTTTGGCAGGAACTTCTGCTTTAGGTCCTCGGCTCCAAAGGCATATATTGGGAACATCACCAATGATGACTGAACTGATAGCATAGATCTGTTGAAATAGGAAATAAATTGTTATGTCAATAGTGTAACTATAAAACAAGAAATTTTATTAGCAGTATATTTCTAAGTACACTATTACATTCATTTGCATAGTATTGCGATGTTCTGATATATTCCACTTAAAATAATCCTTTAACGTTTAACATGAATCATTCATAAGAAATGGGTTTAAAAATGATAATTAAAATTTCAGTGGATGAAGCCACAAACCGGTAAGCAGAATCCACACGCTCCACTTCACGGGCGATGAGGCCATAGGCTGCAGAAGACACTCCAGGACAGCCATAGCCTTTGATAGTTGCCCCCAAAACACCTATAGCACCCATCTCTGGCATCACATCTCGGTCATAGGCTGCAAACAATGTAAAAATACTCACATGATCAAGATTAAGCATTAAAATCACACAACAAATGTATTAGAATCAAATACTTTGATTATAATTGCACCTAAAGATGAGCACACAAACTTATAAATTTCATGATCTCACCCAAAAATATGAACAAAAATGACACAAATGATAGCATTATTTGAAAAAGAACAAATCATTAATGTGATCTAGAGTGCATAAGAGAAAAAAAAAATGCCTTAGAGGTAAATGAAACTTGTATAATTGAAAATGCAGAAGTGAGTTAAATCCCACTTTCATTTCTGTTAGTTTGCAGGATCCTGGGCATGAGTCGTTCATTGCAGAAATCTCTGGTGGAATTTTGGATGAGGATTTCTTCTTCGGTGAGTGCAGACTCTAGGAGCAAAGGGTCTTGCCAGGAGAATTCTGTTGATGAATAACTGATACATGATACCTATATATAAATATAATATTCAGAGTATTTGAAAGTTCAAATAATCACAGGATGAAAATGTTACAATGGTTACAAGAATACTAAAGTTAACTCAAGGAAAGTGTAAAAAGTAGCACAATAATTTGACAAATTGTTTAATGCACAACTGTGAACAGGTAGACTTATCTCTATGCCATTCACATTTTTAGTAAATAAGGACAAAATTAATAAAGTATATATACAATATTCTACAGTATAAATGACCTACCATTCTTTTTTGTCGTAGATTCAGTAGCTTCTAGAAATCTTCTGATAGGAAAATCATCTATTATTGATGAGTAAAAAAATAATAAAATAACACAAAGTTGAAATAAATACAATTATACTTATAATAAACATTTTAAATTTATGCCTAATATTGAATCAGAGCCAAATTTTCATAAGGCCTAAAAAAATTGGATTCATGTATCCATAAATAATAAGTAACAAAATGTCACATTTGTTATTTTTGAGGTCAAATAGTAATATTTTTATATACAGTAAGTGCAAAATTAAAAAAGTACCTATTTAAAAATGAAATACCTAGCGCAATTGTCATGTGGTGTCTTTAACTTGGGCAAGAGCATCATGTGGGGTACAGTTTTCTATTAGTCAAGAATTGTTCTTTCAATGTGCTGTAGAATCACACATGCTTAGGGCGTAAAAGTGTATCTATAACATATATTATATTTTTTAAACTTTTGGTTAAATACTGTTTAGAGTACAAGAACTGCATAATGAACAAAAATAATCAACTAAGAATATGAGAGCTGGTAAGAAATAAAGGATACTTGGTGAAGCATGTTGGTAGTTCTTCTCTCCCAAGGAACTGTAGAATTGAACAGAACCAACAAGTTGAGGTGTCAAACGGACACTGCGCTGAAAAGCACACAACATCTCTGCTTAAAAGATGAGAAAATGTTATCAGTAATCTTGTTCTTCCTTTAGTCAAATAAACTGTTTTACAAGACTCTTGTTCTTCCTTTAGTCAAATAAATGTTTTACAAGACAACGATTTTACTTAGCTCAAGTGAAATATGCAAACGTAAAGAAAATAAATATAAATATTTCCAGAAAATTTTAACTCACGAAAAGAAAAAAGATTAAAACTTTTGAAAAAATTATTAGAAAAAATGAAACAATTGGCTAGAAGGAAGTGGCACTACAGAGACTCAAGTGGCAGCATACGTACTTATTAAAATCTCAAGATATATAGTGTAAATACAACAGGGTAATATACAATTAGAATCAATACTAAGCATGAAGTTCTTATACAGTGCTCAACTGAAAAATGCTAAATAGATTTAAAGTTGTACCAGTAAATTAGGCTTCCATTTCCAAATTGAATGTTTTTATGAATATTATAGTTAATAATACAGACAAAAAAGTAAGCCATTTTGTCTCACAAAATGGCTCACTGCAAGAGCTGTGATACGTAGCCTTGCATGATGGCCTGGCTGGAATATTGGGCAGAAGCAACCCATGAATGGGCAGAAGCGACCCATGAATGGGCAGAAATGCCCATGAATCAGGCCAATTTTATAGGTTTCTTTGGCTTTTACTCCATTTCATCAGTGAAAAATAAGAGAAATGGTCTATTTATACCCATGATTTTTAAATAACCCACAAAACAATTGTTTTCACCTACAATTATAGGAAACTTTTGCCCAATATTTCAAATTGGCATAATGGAAAACAAGAGACTTTTATATTGAAGTTCCTTTCTAATTTCATAAGCTACTTTAAAATTTCAGCCCATTTATGATGAAGTTTTATCCATAATACTACCGGCATACAATACCATACTATACAGGTTTAGTCATAAGACTCAAAAAGTAAGGCCAAATATTGCCTCTCATTTCCCATTATGCAAGCTTTTTGCCCATAACTATGAGAATATCAACAAAAATGTTTTTATGGTAAAAATTTTGGGTTTAGAATGATACCTACGTAGGTACTGAAAAACAAAATTTTAAATTTTCTCAAAATGGAGTCTATGCAAGTTAGAAAATTTCCAATCAAATCAAAACACTGCTTATTAGAGCCCAGGGTGCAGAGTGTCCAAGCTGTGTAGCCAAGATATGGATTTTTAGCTCAAAACATTGCCAACCATTTCCAAGATACGTCGCCTGGTAATTTTTAATAAGAAAATGCTGCCAACAACTTTGATAGTATATCCCTCACTCTCCATGCACTGCAACACTCACTACACTCATCGCAACTGATTTACACTGACAAGCTTACTTACACTGACAACTGACTTACACTGACAACTGACTTACACTGACAAGCTTCACTGAATCCAGGTCCATCCAACATACCAGAAACCTGACGTGTGTGCTTGTGGTCATCAGATTTTCAACTATTTTCTAAATAGTTGGCCAAAGACTGGCAATTTGGCAAATATCTAAAATGCAATAATTTCAATCCAAATGCGTCAGCAAGATCTTCTGAAGTCGTAAATTTTGCTGCTGATGCTTTGACAAAGATCTTGTGATATTCACCTACTTTCTGCACCCTGGATTAGAGCCTATTTTGAATATTGGGCAGAAGTTTCCTGAAATTGTGGGTAGGAATTATCATTCATAATGATGATTTGCTGGGAGGTAACTGAGCTGCAGGTCCACTGAGAGCACATTTTTTTAATGCCAGGGCAGAATTAACTCCATAGAGTTTTGTTAAGGGACTCCACCCACCTCCTCCCTTTTGGGATCTGTTGAGAACGCATAAATCAACGTACAGAGATGGTTCTAGTACCGTTCAATGCGGCAAAAAGTACCATAAAATGGGGTAACTTAGACCACTTTTTTATAAATGATGCCATTTTTTTACTAGCTAAATTAAACTTGAATTGAAACATGCAAAATACAGGTCTATACTCTAGCATCAATCACCATAAATTGCTGGCTCCTGCCTCTCATGGTCTTTATGTAATTTAAAAAAAAGTGATGGTCTTTGTTACCCCAGCTCTAGGGGTATCTTAGACCAGGTGGTAAAATCAATTATATTTTGTGGTAAAATAACTCCAGGTTTTGGTGCATTGTAGTAGAACTCTTCTAGTTACATATGCAAATGACAAACTTGAGGAAAGTGTCATAGTTTGCAAATGGGGGGCACCGCCCCATAATGAGGGAAATGTGACTACCTTAATGCATGGAACTAAAACAAAGCTTAATATAAAGGAAAAGCTGGAGAGGTGACGGAATTACCTACGATGTCGGAATATACCGCGTTTACCCTAGTCAGTAAACTGCCAAATTACTAACCAAAATGATTTAGTCGCATTACTCGCCTACTTGCATAAATAGATTCCCATTTCCCATTTCCGGGCCGTCAATCCCCGTCAGGGACTTGCCCCCCCCAGGGTCCCACACCAGGCACGCCCTCTGGTGCCTCGCCATATTGGCGACTGACAGCACCCTGTTGCACCCCGGGCACTGAGCAACCCTCCCCCTCCTGGCTCTCACCGGCTCCTCCCCCCCTCCCTCCACAACCCCCCCAGCGTCTGTCTCTTATACACATCTAGATGTGTATAAGAGACAGCCCTAAGCCTAACAGTTATTAATGAGCTTTTGTCTTTCATTGAGCACACAAACATCAGAGAAGTGAAGTACATTCAAGTGGC